GTTATGGAATAGGAGGCGGTACAATTATCTATGTCCGCTCAGACATTCAAGCATGCAAATTTGAGGATAAATCCCTTGATGCTATAGAAGACTCCACTTGGGTTACTGTAAACTGTGGATCCCAAAATTATTTACTGGTGGGTTGCATATATAGACCACCTCATGCGGATACTAAGTTTGACAGATTACTAACAAACATATTTTCCATTGCTTCGCATCAACCGCATACTTTTAAAATCATCGGAGGTGATTTTAATCTGCCAAAAATTACATGGGGCTTGACTCCGGTACCAGGTCGACATAACAAGCTAGTTGAAACATTAGAAATTTGTGGATGGGTTCAACAGGTCCGAAAACCAACCAGGGGGAATAATACACTTGATTTAATGTTCACAATCAACATAGACTCTATCTCAGTGCATACCAGTCATGGGTTTTTTATGAGTGACCATAGAGTTGTAGTGAGCATTATTCACTCTTTAAACGCCATACAATTGAACTCTAAAGCTTCAATGACGTACCAGAGCAGATATTTTGATCAACAAACATGGAAACGGACTGAAACTCTCATTCGATGTTTACCATGGGAAACTTATTTTACCACAAATAATGTTGACATTGCGCTTTCCAATCTATATCACAACCTGATATATTGTCTTGACTGCACTGCTCCAGTTATTGGCCGTGTGGCTTATAATGCTAATAGGGGCCAAAATACTTTTAAAAGAAAGCTGAGGAAATTAAAATACCGCTACTATGAGCAGAATGATGTGTATGCACTTCAGAGTATACTTAAATTAATCGACAGAAATGCTTCATCTAAACATAAGTATTTCATGAATATAGAAAATAAAGCTCTACGTAGTAAAAGCCCAGAATTATCAATACTTCGACTTTTTAAATCCCGTGTAAAGTCAAATTCCCTTGGCACGACCAAATTCTTCATAGTTAACGGAAGCATTGTTAACGACCCGAATACTATATGCGAACAATTCAGCAAGCACTTCTCGCAGTGCTACAAGACTAGAACTGAAAGCTCCATCATTACATTTCCAATGCTAACATCCAGACATCTGTCGAAAATTGATTTCACACCCTCCAACATCAAGCAGGCCATAACTGCCCTGAAAAAGTCTTATGATGGTGGACCTGACGGGATACCTACATCATTTGTGAAATATGGAAGTAAAGAATTTCCACAAATTTGTTTGAAACTTTTCAATCTATCTATGGAATATGGGACCTATCCATCTGTATGGAAAACATCCGTTATCACCTCTAGATTCAAAACAGGACCACGTAGTGATATTATTAACTATAGGCCAATTAATTTGACATCCGTGCTCTCAAGAACCATGGAAAAAATCATCCACAAACAGCTATTATCATTTTTACTTTCAGCTAGTCTGATCAGCCCATCCCAACACGGGTTCATGATTAAACGCTCATGTTTCACATCGCACCTGGAGTTTTTTGATCAAATTACCCAGAGAAGAGATGTTGGTCAGTCAGTGATAATTCTTTACTTCGATTTTAGTAAAGCTTTCGACAGTGTCTCACACAAACTTCTTCTTTTAAAACTCTCTTCATTTGGCATACAGAATCCCCTTTTATCTTGGCTCAAATCTTTTTTAGAAGAACGTAGCCAAATCGTTCGCTTTGGATCTTGCTACTCTAAACCTGTAAATGTAACCAGTGGGGTTATACAAGGAAGTGTGGTTGGTCCATTGCTCTTTCTCCTTTTTATCAATGATGTGTGTTCCCTCTTTCAGTATGGTAAGCCTTTCCTTTTTGCTGATGACCTGAAAGTAGTTTATTCATTCTCTTCTCCCACGAAAGAAAGCTATATTTCTGCGGTAATCCAGGAGGAAATAAACAAGTTGTACGAATGGACTATTTCGTGGAATATGCCACTTAATGTTGACAAAAGCGGATTTATTCACATTGGTCACTGTCTTAACTTAAATCTGACTGTACAGACACATACACTCAAACCTCTCAACACTGTTCGTGACCTGGGTTTAAGATATAGCAGCAGTCTGAACTTTTCTGAACACATTATATCTCAAGTATCCAAAGCTAGAAAGCTGATCGGATTGATAATGATAAACTTCAATAATATCGAATCGAGATTGTTACTATACAGAAAATGTATCTTACCCATTCTTGAATATGGTAGTTTAGTTTACAGTAATTGTAGACACAATGACCTGATTAGAATTGAAGGTGTTCAAAGAAAGTTCACCAAAGCTGTTCTGGGGTATTCTGATAACAAAGACTATTACCAAAGATGTCAACAACTCAACTTAGAACCTCTTTGGATCAGACGTATCAAATTAAATCTTGTCTTTATCTACCGGCTCATTAATGGTATTTCTTACTCATCGGTATCTACCCCTTCATACCTTATAATATCATCCCACAATCTACGCAATAGGGAGAATATTCTAGCGATTCCAAGGGCCCACACAAACTGACGTCAGAATTTTTTCCTTATTCGCTACTCAACCATGTGGAACAGACTGCCAGTGAACCTCCGTTGCAGTAAAACTACAACCCGGTTCAAAAGTCTCCTTGATGATTTTCTTTCCGAAAGTGGATTATATCACCTATTGAATATCAATGTATTCAATAATGATTTATACAAACAAGGTCCGTCATCTATTTAATTGCTTGAAAAGCAAAATAAAACCTTTAAATCTTTTCACGTCTATTTTGTTTTATTTCTCTTTATCTTAATATATGAAGTCTGATTATGTTCGTGTTTATCATTATTACCGTTATTAATATCATTATTAGTTCCCCGACACATTAGATATTCTTTTTGTATCTTCTTATCCTTCTAAACATATTTAACTACAGATTGTCCTTTGAAATCAATTTTGACTTTCATAGCATCAATCTTAATTATTATTGCACAAATATTTATACTAATATCCGGTTTCACTCTGTATACTATTACATAAATCTAAATGTATTCATCCGAGTGCTTTAAAGGATTTTTTTTTTAAATTTCTGGTTTCCTTCTGAGGTTGATATTCATTACACAATTATTATTTTTATCATGGATGAATCTTTTCACTAGGTGTTCACTTCTTTTCTCTCTTCTTTCCCTCTAAATAAATATTATTCTTAATATTACGAAGTTTGTAATTAAAACAATAACTTGTGTTACACTTTAATTAACTTCTCAGATTCGTTTCATCTTCACTATGCATATATGACTCATACATAGTGATATTTTATTATACTTTTCACTAAATTGTGACTTTCATAGCATCACTCTAAATTATAACTGCACAAACATTTATTCTAGTGTCATATTTTACTACATTGATAGATTATTTTTTCTTACTAATTTAACGATACACACATAGTCGTTTATTCTTGTTTTGTGTTCATAAACACCCCTATTAGACTGTTTGCGTATTTCACGTCTCCTTTATTTCTATTCCCTTATTTTCTCCATTTCCTTCTTTAAACTCAATTCAATATTCTTCTCAATTACAAAGACCCCATTTATTATTATTAATATTCTACTATTATTATTCTCAATTTTATATGGCAAGTATAATGGTAACATTATTGAAAATTGTGTATTATTGCATTTTCTGAAGAAACCCGAAATGGTTTCTTCACAACACTTATGTACCCATAAGATGTTTGTGAATAATAATAATAATAATAATAATAATAATAATAATAATAATAATAATAATAATAATAATAATAATAATAATAATAATAAGAGTCTACCATTATATTAGTACTACTCCAATAATAGACCTAATCCCAAAATTGTAGATTCGTCATGATATAACTGCCTAATCTATAAGATCTTACGTGGAAGTCACACCATCGACTACACCAACTCACTGTATCGTATCAATTACCAATACATGATGTAGAACAAGGTTAGGCTAGAGAAAGAACAATATATTTAATATGAATAGATGATATAAGGTAACATTCGGCAGAGACCACGCCTGCATGGCCGAGCCATGCCACTCGATCAACTCCAGTCCATTCAATTCATTATTCGCGCCTTCCCCATCGTTGGGTATTTCTCCGCGTTAAATATTGAATATCTATTTTCTGTGTAGTCTCGTGTTCACAGCTTTGTGGATTGTGTGGCTATTGTCCAATGCCACTACAGTTCTTCAAGTTTCATCTCTGTACAATACAACAGTTTTGATGTTCGTATTGAGGATTCCGCCTTTAATATTGGTTGATAGTTGTTTTAAGTTTTAAGTGTTCTTCAATTGCAGGAACGTGACCATTGCTTTGCCAGACCTCGCATTTATATTTACTTACATTTGTTAAGATCTCCTTTCTTCGGCATCTTGATGAGGTATTCTTCTTTCCAGTTAATAGACACTTGTGGAGCATGTTTGCAATTACCTTGTTGTCTGACTTAAATTTCTCATCTGGTGTATTGGCAGGTTTTTCTGATTTCCCGCTCTCGATTTGTTTGATGTCCATCCTGATCTTAACGATTGTTGGTGGAGTGATATCTATAGATAGGTTTGTAGGTCCAGGTTCGATAACCGGTGGATTCAATGGAGCTGATCTATTCAAGTGTTCCTCAAACTATTCTACCCATCTGTTCTTCTGTTCTTGAATTTCTGTGATTATACTTCCATGTGATGACTATTGTCTTCCTAATGCTCAGATCCACTTTTAAGGAATATAGAGTTTACTACTTCTGTGAATCGAAGTTCATCCATCTTAGTAAGTCCTATATGCAAACCTAATTTCAAGGACGAATTTTGTCGCCTTATTGATTCTTGGTTGTAAATATTAGTCATTTTATTACTCAACAAATCCATTGCCAATGTGATCTAGTATACATAAAATAACATCGTGGAAACCTTTCAAATGTTTACAATTATATTTTTAAATCGAAATAAAGTTTACTTTAATAGTAGTTAATTATGAAAGTATAACACAAACTCATACAAAACAAAAGTGTCTTTTGTTTTAACGATGTAACAGGCAAACTTTCAAAGACGTTATTTATAATCGCTCTTGAGAGAGGTTTTAGTCTATGTGCAGAACGGTAAACATCGCTTTTCTAAAACAATGGAAATACTGTTTTTAATTTTTGTGTTGGTGTTAACGAAGGAAATGTCTCGATATATTCAACCTCGCTTCCGTTTAAACTTCATTTGCCAGATATAATGTATGAATTTATTTCATGCCACACAATATATAATATTCTATTATGTTCGAAGGACGTAGCTCAAATTTCTCAAGACGTTATTTATGTGCTCACCGGTTTTCGACAGATTGCGATCCCACCCAAAGCGTAATAATATTGGCAAGCATAGGGAAGGCTCGTTAATCAAAATACCAAATTCAATAAGCTTTGAAACGACAACTAACCATTCAGAGACCTTCAAATTCGGATTTGATTTAAAGTACGAAATTAACGACACATTCAGTAAGTATACGTCCCCAGTAAGCTCGTACCAACCGTTCGGTTCTGCTATCTAGGTCACAAAAGCGACATACAACTGTTATCAAATTTAGTCTCATTGGAATATACAGACTGAATCGGGAATTCTGTCACTTTGCATAGACCTTCACATTAATGAGCCGCAGTTCCAAATTACTGGGTTCCTGGAGGCTTCTATTTCCTTTGAAAACATGGGAACGAAAGTGGCGCTAATTTGATAATCGTCCATTATTACTTGGACTGCTAACCCGTACTAGTTTTAACCGAATATTTATCATATTTGCTTTTTTTCAAGGTTGACTCCTTCCCGCAAAGTTATTTCGATCATAGTATGATTTTAAGATAATTCAACTTCACGACTCTACAAATATATTTTGCAAATAAATTGTCGTGGCGAGACTATAATTTATAAACGAACCAATCACGTATAACAAACTGGTCTCGGATCTTGGCGAGAAATTTACTCATGCATTTGGCTAAATAGAGTCTTGTCATTATAGCTAACGTTACTTCGTGCTGGAAACCCCAAATATATTTCCTAACCTCAACCATCAACTGAAATTCATAATTCTAATCCCCCACAATGTTTGGTAGTCCTCATTTGGTCCTAGTTACTGAGTGGACACTCTCAAAGTCACTTCAGCTTCGATCATAGGCTGTCCAAAAATTATAGTCTCACTACTATCATCCTAAGATCTGTAACTTACTTCATGTTCCAGGTTCTCAATTCGGCCAGGTCAGTTTCGATCAGCAGGCATAGTCATATTGTTAAAATCAACAGGAAGTTTCATCTCAGGCTTCAGGGAAAATACTGTAGCTACGGGGCCTCTTTTTATTTCTGAATGTACTTTACGCATATCATCCAAATATTTGCGTAAGGTTGAAGGTATCACTACTTGATCACTGACTCACATCTGGTACTGGTTTTCAGCGTCAAGCTGCTCAGACTTGTGAATTTTGTACCTATCTTCATTATTATCAATTCAAGAGCATTAATTAGACTTATGCCGACTAAATATTTATTAGTTCTTACTTTTTTTTATTTAAAAACTATGTATGTTTACACGAAGAGCGTTTGACAATGTCTGTATCTAGTGGACGTAATCCAAAGGGTTACTATCAACGGAGTCTCAACAGTAAGGATCATACATTTAGGAAATATGGTCGTTCACTGCTCAATCCAAAATGTAAGCCTGAATATTTTCGTAAATAATTTCATTATTTTTCTGTTATTCTATTATTCTTTCGTTTGTTTGATTCTTAAATTACATCCGTCTTAAGCTAATATAGTTATATGTGCTCATCAATGTTGGACTAAAAAACCCTATAGAGTATTATATTTTGTACCAGGTACACACGTTTTAGAAACTACTCGATTTTGAATCAGACAGTCACAATGTACAACCTGATGCACAAGTACATCGCTTACCATATTCCAATAGAACGGAGATATGGAGTTATCAAAGCAACGTCCAGAATAGCAGTAGCAATAACAGTTTCCGTGGTAATCAAAAAGATTAGGCTGCGAAGTTACGATCCAAGGAATTTAGATGCTTAAAGTTTAGAGGAAGAAAAAGGATCGACTCTAATGCACGACGAAGACGATTTCAAGCCATGGCATCCAGAGTCTTCAACCACCGGCTGAGATAATCACACAGGTTACAACCACATAGTTTGCACCTACTAACAGTACAATCGTCAGTGCCTTCATCGACTAAATGCATGTTTTGGTTTGGTCGTCCTCAGCTTTTCTTCAGCCTACTCTTACACCACCCAATATCGCCCGTCCAAGCACATCGTGGTTACAGATACGTAACACATGTCCCAACCACCTCAGTTTATGAAGATTTATAATCTCATTAATCGATGTACCACCCTTACCTAGTACAATATTCTTAATACAGACTTTACTTACTCAATAATACCAAAATACACAAGTTATGCTTCGAAGACTAGTAATTTGCGAATATCCTTTATTCTTATAGGCCATGCTTTACATCGATGAAGTAGGACGGAGTGAACTGCTGTGCAGTAAACTCGTCGTTCAGTTGGCAGACAGATGTATCGCCCACGCTACAAGTGAAGCAAATTGGTAAAAGCCAATCAAACCTTCTGAATTCGTGTCGAGATTTCGTCAGATACCGGACTATCAGTACCAATGAGACTCCTACGCTAAGTGAAGCAGTCAACACGCTCAACTACTTCACTTCCTATCATTAATTCGGGCGGTTGCACAAGCAAATCCTGAAGTGACATGCTTGCACTGTTGATTATGGAGGTCAAAAGACTCCGAATTTTTCAACGTCCACCAAATAGAACTATGTTATCTGCGTATTTTAAGACAACAGGCGAATCTCTTGACAGATCACCGCCCAAAAAGTCAGGCGATGAATGTGTTATCCCTAAAACTATGTCAGTGACAAAGTTAAGTAAAAATGAGGAAAGCTGGCAAGCCTAACGAAAACTAGTTGAATCACTTTCGATGACAGTTCAGCGTAGGCTCTGACTCGAACAATAATGCCCAGGTAGAGAGCCTGTACAAGATTAATAGATTTCTTTGGTAGGTCTTCTAATAGCAGATGTTGCCACATGACCGTGCCGTCAACGGAGTCAAACGCCGCCTCAGAGTTCAGAAATACAACTACAACTGTACGTCGAAATACATTTCTAAGTTCTCGAAGTTGCCGTAGGGTGTGAATATTTGATCTATACATCCATATCCAGGTCTGAAATTAGCATGGCTCTATCCGGTTTGCTCCTCAGGAGCTCTACTCAGACGTTGAAGTATTGCTGAGGCTGAAGTTTTAGAAACTATATTAGTTAAACTGATTTTTCTGTGATTATCACAAGAGGAGTTGAGGCCTTTCTTATAAGCTCGGGCGATCACCGATCGAGGCAACTCAGATTTGATTAGATCCGGTTCCCAGATTTAAGCTAATATCTCAGTGAATATTACTTCTAAAACTAAACCACCATCCTTAAGAATCTCAAGGCTTAGTCGATCAGACCCTGTTGCTCTAAATTGTCATTCAGGTTTCTAGAAGACATTGAGTAACTAAAGTGTGGCCCAAAGCTAGTTGAACTGGTTCGCAAAGCGTTCTGTCCATCGGTTCATTCTTCTGGATTAGGAGTGAATATCAGTTTTTTCTACTTCCTTGACAGTTTCACTAACAGCCAGATTTCTAATACCTGTTTCCTTGATAAGTCAGGACAGTTGTCTACTGCTACCTATCGTGACGTAATTATGATATGGAAAGGATGTAAGAATTCATGGCTTCGTGAAAAGTATACCCATCTAGTTTTAGAAAAGATTTTGGATCATTTATCAGATGAAGTGGCTGGATGTATGAAAAGTACTAGGCTCATTTTAATTCAAAAGACTAACTAAATTTTTCGTTTTGAATTTCGCTTTAACCGGGTAGTAGATTATTTTAATTTGCCGTTACAGGTTTCGACAATCAGGTCCCTATTACAACGTTGATATGGTGATATCATTCTCGTACTCTTTGATTAAAGTTTGAGTGCAGACAATGGCCCCCAAATGCCCTGATATGGCAGAGAGTGGGGTGTGTCCGCCATCCCTCTCGAAACACTCTCACACGGCCACGCGTATACAGCCTCTACCAGGGAAGTCCTACTCACTGCCTTCTCGCACCACGGGTGTTGTTTACGAAAATGATAGGACGAAAAGCGAATGTCCGGTGCTTTAACCGGATTCCAAACCAAATCAATGGTGCATATGGGTTCCAGTATCCTGGGGGAACAAATGGCGTATGAACCAATTTTCGGTCACCGGCTCCCATGGGACTGCATCTCCTCACGATGCTCCGCTGCCTTATGGGTCAGACCTTTAGGTCAACGGCTCGGGGTGTGGCCCCCTAAGATAACCACCTGCTTCGGTCTGGGCACCCGGGCAGTATCACAGCCCACACGCATATGATGAACTCTCTATATCTATGGCAACTACTTCTCTCGCTTCGAATAACAATCAAATGATTCAAATTAGTATCATTACTATCATTGTTATAATAATAATAATAGTTATTATTATTATTATTATTTACTACATCGTTATTCACCCTCTTTTATTCCTACTCTGTCTATACTTATTTTTTCGACTTACATAGCAGCTCGTCTATGGTGGAAATTCGACTCTATCTAAACGTTCTCGAGTCACTGTCCATTTGAAAATTGTATGTTACCACCGAATATGAGTACTGAAGCAGTTTTTCTGAAACCACGTGCACCATTCAAACTGGCTGCCTTCAATGTTCGTACACCTATGCAGGTTGGACAACAGATAGGGCTGGCCATGTCTTTAGAAAGTCTTAATATCGATGTTTGCTGTCTATCTGAGACCCGTATTCAAGACTCTGGTGAAGTACTACAAATTCGCTCTACGTCTGTCACTTCGAAAAGCTTGTTTTACGTGCGCTTATCCGGGGACCCTGTGGCATCTTCGTCTGGTCTCGCTGGCGTTGGTGTCGCACTAAGCGCTAGAGTTGAGGCAGCACTAGTCGATTGGATCCCCATTAACAGTCGGTTATGTGCTGTTAGATTAGAAAGTTCTATCAAAGTGAGAAGAAATCCGTGTGAGAAACGATGTCTTTTCGTCATCTCCGCCAATGCCCCGACAGATTGCAGCCCGGATGCAATCAAGGATGAGTTTTACCACCAGTTATCTGTTCTTCTCCAGACAGTGCGTTCGACAGATATTGTAGTACTAGCCGGAGACTTGAATCCTCAGGTCGGGCGTCTAGGCACAGAAGAGAGTCGTTTAGGTGGCCGATGGGGACTCGTTGGTCGTAGGACAGATAACGGGGACCGTCTACTGCAACTGTGCACAGACCACAACCTGTTTCTGGCTAGCACTAACTTTCGGCACAGTCATCGCCGATGTGCCACCTGGCGTCCTCCCTCTGCATCTCAAGCCTGAACTCAGATTGATCACATCGCGATCAGCTACCGCTGGCGTGGTTGTGTACAAGACTGCCGCTCCTTTTGGAGTACCTATCTGGACTCTGACCATGCTTTGGTCTGCGCCAATCTTGCCTTACTTTTCAGTGGCCAACGAAGTGACCACCACCAAAAGATTGTTGTTAGCAAGCTGGTTGCAACTTCTGTTGCAAATAAGTATCGAACCGAGCTAGTTTCTAGGCTAGCTACCACTCCACCGAAAAGTATAGATGAGCATTGGTTGCAATTGCATGACGCCATGAAAATGGCAGGAACAGTCAGTTGTGGGTTCGCGAAACGTCCCGCTTATAAGCACTGGGTTTCTTCTGGTTCCATACAACTCAATGAAGCCCGTCGGTCTACTCCGGGTGACCGTGAGTTTGACCATAAACGAAGGTTGTTACGTAAGGAAATTGGGCAAAGCTTGTGTAAGGACCGAGAAGCCTTGTGGTCGAAGCGTGCTAATGAGCTGGAAGTAGCAGCTGCATCTGGTAATTACCGGAAGCTCTTCCAACTCATCCGAGCCACTGGCAGCAAGAAGTATGGTGTGAGCGAAACAACCTGTGAGGATGATGGGATGCCAATCACTAACATCCATCGACGTCTTGGACGATGGGCAGAATTTCTCGAAGGGCAGTTCAACTGGCCTGCTGCTCCGGCAACATCGATCAGACTGTCCTGCCCTCCATGGCCGGTGACGATTGATCCACCAAACGAGAAGGAAGTTCGCAAGGAACTTCAACTCTTGAAGCGTTACAAATCACCTGGCCCAGATGACTTACCTCCGGCCCTTTTTAAAGATGGTGGTGACTTTCTGACTAAGGAACTGACGACGTTGTTTACAAAGGTTTGGGAACTAGAGAGTGTACCAACGTCATGGAATGAGTCGATAGTTGTCCCTATCTTTAAAAAAGGGTTCACGTCGATCCTGTAACAACTATCGGGGGATAAGTTTAATTCCGATGGCGTCCAACCTATTGGCTTCTGTCATACTTCGTAGGTTGTTCAAAACCCGAGAAAGATTGACTCGCGAGGAGCAGGCTGAGTTTCGTTCTGGTCGAGGATGTATTGATCATATCTTCACCTTCCACCAAATGTTAAAACACCGCCATACTTATCAGAGGCCAACAATCGTAGTGTTTCTTGACATCAGGGCTGCCTTCGATTCGTTGGATAGGACTGTTCTCTGGGATTGTCTATTGAAGAAGGGTGTGCCTGAGAAGTTTATTAACATCCTAAAGGCCCTATATAAAAACACCTCAGGCAGAGTGAGGGCATACAACCACCTCTCTCCATTGTTCCATTCAAGCAGTGGGGTTAGGCAGGGTTGCCCAATCTTACCATTCCTCTCCAACTTTGCCATCGATGAAATTCTGGAAACAGCTCTGATGGATGTAAGTAATGGTGTGGATCTGTTGCCTGGAGAAAGACTTCTCGACCTTGAGTATGCGGACGATATTGTCTTACTGTGCGATAATGCCCAAGGCATGCAATCCGCACTTAATCAGTTGGCAATCAGTGTCCGTAGGTATGGTATGTGCTTTGCACATTCGAAGTGCAAAGTACTTCTACAAGACTGGCAGTATTCTAATCCTGTACTCACCCTGGACGGTGAGCAGATAGACGTAGTTGAGAAGTTCGTGTATCTGGGTAGCTGCATAAGTGCTGGTGGGGGTGTGAGTGACGAGATCACTGCACGTATAGTGAAAGATAGAGCGGCTTATGTCTATCTGGGCCATCTTTGGCGCCTTCGTGATGTTAGTCTGACTGTAAAAAGTCGGATCTCCAACGCGTCGGTGAGAGAAGTTTTGCTCTATACTTGTGAAACCTGGCCTCTCCGAGTTGAGGACGTTAGACGACTCTCTGTGTTTGATCATCGTTGTCTCCGAAGGATTGCTGACATCCAGTGGTAACACCATATTAGTAATGCAAAGGTTCGGCATCGTGTGTTCGGGCACAGAGACAATAATGCAATCGATGTCACTATCTTGAAACACCGACTTCGGTGGCTTGGACATGTTCTCCGAATGTCGTCCCAGAGAATTCCACGTCGTGCATTATTTGCCGACTCTGGGACTGGTTGGAAAAAGCGGAGAGGTGGTCAGTATATGACATGGTGTCGTGGTGTGAAAGGAAGCTGCAAAGGACTGGCCTGTGTTGGTCCTTCACGACTCCTTGGTTGGGGTCGGAGAGATGGTTCAACACATTGGCTAGAGACGTTATCAGATATGGCTGAGAATATAAGTCAGTGGCGATCCTGCTGTAACCTTCTTTTACTTTCTTCGTAAAACGTGGTTGTATCTTCCTTAACTGAAAGATTTCTTCTGACTGTACCTTTCCGTCCCCCCATTTTTACCATTATTATTATTACATCACCTTACATCAGTTTCTTCGTTATTATTCTCTTTTTTCGCCTTCCCCCTAAATTCTCATTGTTTTGTGTGGCGCGTATACATTTGGTGCGTTCTTGTACCAATATTTATGTGTTCAAATAAATAATAATAAATAAATAAGACAATGTCTCAGTCGACATTTCTATGACAGAGTACTCAACTACCAACTTACTAATAACTAGTCTATTTATAAACACATTTCAATAAAACAGAACGTGAATAACTGTTGTTTTTTGCTGCTATTTCACTTATTTCAATTAACTTTATTGTTTATACAATAATTGCATAGGTTGTTACTACATAACTATCTCAGTCTCCAAGAATTTTAATTACCAATGCACAGAAAGTGAATATTAGTGTGATTACACTTAGTGTGTTAAGTTTTGACTAGTTTGAATGGTTAACGCTTAGGAAACCTGGATTTGGTGCCTAGTGGTCTACGGATATGGGCTGTTATTCTAAACCATAATTCGTGAAAGTGATTGATTAACCTTTTCATCCATTTCAGGTGAAACAGTTGTCCAGTTAGAATAACTAGTAGTATTGTTTGTAAATGCTGAGATAAAGTCCTAAAGTTATCAAGTATGTACGTCAGTAATTGAAAGTGGATCAGGATATAAAGACAGAAGACTGTGAACGCAGATGAATGAGTTACAATGAACGTAAATAAAATAGGCAGAAATGTACAAAGCATTTGTCGACTTGTGCGAACTGCGCACAGGTTAAACATATATGTGCAGTTTATGTCTTGTAGCTTCAAAGGATATGTTTGTAATACATACCGACAACAAGTCAAGAAAAAAAATAAAAAAATAATAGTACTCGACTCATAGATTATTTCGGTCAATCAAACTATAATAAATGTCGCTGAATCAAATTTATGGAACATGAACTCATTCTTAAACGGTCAAAAGTGATTAAAGCTAGAATTTTGAAACTGTCTGCTATGGTTTTATGCTCAAATGATTACTTTTTTGCTTATACTGTAAGTTTTTGACATTGAAGTATTTGCTACGTCAGGCAGCATTTATTTTTATTTATCTATTCAGAAATTACTTAACGATAACTCAAATATTTTCCCTTCTGAAAGCTATTTTCAATAATATTGATTTAGTCAGTTCTTCAATAAAAACAGAGAAACATTGGAACCAAATCAGTCTACACTCTAAAAAGGAACCACGAATTACGCTACCGGTGAAACCGACGGGATATAAAAGTTCAATACTTATACAGAGGTAAATCATATATATACTCTGTCCCATGGTTTCAACTAGTGAGTGTTAAATGAAATTCTTATAGCATCTTACAAAGATTTGATTTCTTATGAGTTAATCATGATTGATATAAAAGGTTAATATTGGATGTAAAGTATATTTTTAGCTTCTCTGAGAAAATAATTTATTCTGGGTGTTGAATGAACTCTCACCTTTCAAGTTTAGTCTTGTAGATACATAGATTATAACTCTGAATGTTGTTCTTAAACTGACTTCTGGAAGCAATCAACTACATTTTGTGAAACTATACTCGATTACTGATTATTTTATATTGATCTGTATATCTTTAGGGACAACAACAGTCTGATTATTAAAACACTAAACTCATAAAAACAGAGTTACAAATGTAACTGTAACTAGATAGATCTGGGCATTCATGAAACAGTAACACATAGATAATATACATACCTTAAAGTTTACAAGGTAAACCTTTATGAAGTCACAGAATCGTATGCTAGCGTTATATACGTTTTTTTAATATCAAATATCGAAGTAATAGCATTTTATGAAACGATGTTTCAGTTATTGTACTCTCGTAAATGACATATGACTGCAGCATCCGGTGATGCGGCTTCACTACATGATTTCCTTCGGAAGAAACCCATTTCATTCACTCGCATGTGAATTCTTTATTTTGAATACTGAACCTTATGTTAATCCAGTGTCATATTTTGTGGTGAATATTCACTGGAGAACCATTCCAAAATGATTTTGTATAACCAACCTCGACATGAAAACTTGTATGCATCAAGTAATTGTAAATCGATGTCAGGCTGGAATAATGTTTTCGCATATTCTCATGTTTAAGGAAAAAATCAAGGAATACTGCCGTTAAAAGTGATGTCAAGGAAAAGCATAATCAGGTTTCAAAATGTGAAAAACTGTCAAGTCAGACAGAAGTATCCCTTCTAATAAGTACAGACAAAAGTAAATCACCTGATCTTCGACACATACCTATATGGTTGCGGAAGTCATTGAAGTTTGTACAAAATTGTTTTCTTGAGGCTCCTCCGAAATTAACAGACAGTTCTCCCCATAATGCTAACAAAGAGGATGGAAACGCTCCACCGAATACATTTCAAGTTGTTCATAAGTCACTTAAAAGTGCTAAAGCTAATATATCAGATAATCTCGAAGAAATCTTCTCGAAATTGGGTTTAGAACAATGGATAAAAGAGTACGAAAATGCCCATGATGAAAGTGTGAATGAAAACTCATCCAAAGATCAACATATCATTAGCAGTTGTTCAAGACAAATAACTTCAAATTTAACCCACTCAAACCAGAATGAATGCCTATTGAAAAAACGATTAAGGAAAGAATCATATGAAGAGGATCACTTACAGGTGAGCGGTTAGCTGTAAAATAGAAAATTTAGATATTTTAATAATTATAAGCATTAAGCTTCCCTTGATTCAGAAGTTCAGTTTTGTAAGTAAGATAATCTCAAAACATTACAAATGCTTCACAATTGATTGATCACTGGGTGGTGATCAATGTCATGTGTGTCAAGTCCTTCTTAGAGCGGGTCGAATGCTATCGAACAAGTTGCAGTGTGACCACTAGTCTAGGTGACTCGACATTGCGTGTACTATGTTGAGATAATATGGTGGTTGAAGGTAGTCAACAGGAAGCCCTGGACCCGAGTTTCGTGCTACTTGGCACTCGTCAGAAAGGTGTACCTGTGATCTTGGGGGAACTGGTGCTGACGAGTGCCAAGTAGCACAAAACTCGGGTCCAGGGCTTCCTGTTGACTACCTCCAACCGCCATATTATCTCAACATAGTACACGCATTGTCGAGTCACCTAGACTAGTGGTCACATTGCAACATGATCGATAGCATTCGATCCGCACTAAGAAGGACTTGACACACATGACATTGATCACCACCCAGCGATCAATCAAGTGTGATTACATCTCAGTCCTACAGGTCGGTTGCGGCCCGGATAACCCAGTGGTAACGTCTCTGACTGTGAAGCTGGGTGACACGGGATTAAATCCGTCAGGGTGCACCAGTTTCCTCAAGATTACAGGTACACCTTGCTGACGAGTGTCAAGTAGCACGAAACCCGGGTCCAGAGTTTCCTATTGACTACCTCTAACCACTATCTTATTACAGATGCTTAAATGACACCCATACAGTTAATTATTTTGGGTTATAAATTGATACACTATTCAAAGAGATGATATACACACATAAATTAGAGCATAGACGTAATTTGAGATCATGCGCACTTCATATTTCCCAAAATCTAAACATGTATTAACATTTTATGTTGCTGGTTTCCAAAAAACGAGACAAAGAATAATCATGGTAATCGGAAAAAAGTGCTAGCATTGTTAAGGTAAAAGTTCCATATACTTTGATTGTAATTAGAATAACTGAATTTTATATTCAGGATTATATAGTTGAAGTTATTTACTTATAGTTATTAGAAAAGAGTAGTTTTCGGAATACCTTCAGAACAGGTACTATTCATATATTTTCAAAATAATAAGAAAACGAATAGGGAGATATTGACGTTAAATAAAAAACTAGTCAATAGATGGTGATACAACAACAAAAGGTGTTAAAAACTTGTTCATTTATTGTATTCTGTAATATATCTTGGTTTATATATAAAGGGTAATGAGAAGGAAGCTTATCGATTGTAGAATGTCGATAGTTAGACCAGACCCATAAATGAAAGTGCCCAGTCTGTATTTCGTAATGACAGTAAACATATGTGTTCAGCATATAAGGTAAATATTTATCCAGTTTACATGTAGTGTACAGATTACAATATCAATTTAACGAAATAAAACCAAGAATTACTGGTGATAGCTAGTCATAATGATGGGTTCAGGAGGTCTTTGTGAAACTTTCATCTTGTTGGGGATGTTTCTGTTGATTTGGTAATACATAAAAAAAGAATACGAAATATTCTAACAACCTGTCATGTGGTTTTGAAACAGACTACTAAGAAATCCCAACATCATACTGATAAACAGCATTTTACATCACTGAAGAAAAGAGGGACACTTGGAAATCTAAACAGTTTCGGAAATCGTAATTACGATATAGCGTATGATAGTCGTTTAGTTGTTATTTATGTATTAGTTGATCGATTCAAAAACAATATCTACAAAAGATTCTAAAGCTTTGAATAAAATGTTATATATGCTATTCAGAACAAATTATTTCGTTTTTTGAATTTTACTCGAATCTTTGCTACACCGAGCTCATAAACATTCACATTAATTTCATTTCCATAAGTACGTGAAAGTCTAGTGGGGATTCCGATTCTGAAATACCACAAACTTAAAACAACCGAAAAAAAGACAAACTAAGGCGAATTCATGCTATCCTGCTCAAATCGCTAATCGTAACGTTTTAAAGTAACCGGACTACTTTCAGTGTGTATAAGCATGCAATTTGTTGCCCATATATATAGCTATCGATTTACTGATTTTTCATTTAAAGTAAAACAAATAAGTAATACATTAATAATATTTTTCCTAAAATTTTAAGGGGCAATTGGTAAGTCCAAACACTATCGAAAATCAATCAAAATCTTGTCCATCGGATTCAGAAAAACAAAGCAAAGACAAAAAGACTCGGTTTTCGTTGCAAGATAAACTAAATACACCATTACTACTAACCTCCAATGACAAGATACACCATACGAGTTTGGACTTATTATCTCTTGAAGTATTTGATCGGCTACAAGGAAATTGGTCAACAAATTCCAAATCCCCTAGTTTGGTAAGTAATAAAGGATTTAGCCAAATAGGTATACACGGCAGACCGACAGTGCTTAAAAACAATCATCATGAATACCCAATAGGGTCATGTTACCCAAGAAGTCCATCTAATTGCAGTAAATGTCTTAATGAGCTCCCAACGGTTGAAAAACAAAATCATGACGCTGTTTTGAAACAAAACATTATAAGGTGTGATGACATAAATTTCGGTCTCATAGGCAGAAATGAAGTTGGACCTGAAAGCCAGAAAATACATCACTGGTTAGATGAAAATACATACTTGAGTGGTTTGTGCCAACCAGCGTTAGCAGATACTTGTAACAAAAAAAGGAAACACACAATTTCACATAAGTCTGATGTAAAAGATGTCGATCAACAAGAAAATACAAAACATATGGATTCTGCTTTGAACATCGTCTCTCCGCCTATGCACCCAATCTGGGATACACCCGAAGATCTCCGAACATCATCACTTACTGACTTTCTTCGCTTATAAGACTTTTACCTATTATGGATTCACTTATTTAAATGGTATAAATGTTCGACTGGGTATTGTTTCGTTCTAAAAAACTTTCATGGGAAGTGTTTATTATCTAGCACGGTACAATCCCTAGAGAATATACCTGAAAACTATCGAAAGCAGAATAAACCTGACAAACTGGAATAATTCTCAACACTTCATTCTTCCGTTAGTTAATGCTTAACTCCATATTTATCAGATAATGTGTACAACATAACAGAATACTCTTATGCTTGAATGAGTTTTACGGAAAGCCATTCTAAATATTCATCATGACTGTGTTACGTACTTTTAGCGTATTGTATGTAAAAACATACATGGATAAATCTAAACCACTAAAACGAAAGAAGTCTAACTCGAATCTAGCTTTCTAACCCAATTACATAAGATAAAAAAACATGCCTGAGTAATCAAAAGATTGAGCTTTAAGTCACTCCAACGTTCTGTTCAATGAACCGGTCCGAACTTTTCAGGGGAAATGATCGGTTTCGATTACTCATACATCCAAGCCGTATTTTTTGCGCATAACAATCACGTTTTTTTGTGGTAACAACTTTCGCGTAATTTATTCTTCGGTTAAAAATACCTAAGGAAAAAAGATGAGTGAACCATTCTGATGTCTTCAAAAATAGAAAAGTTTTGGTCAAACAATGCTGGCTAATTTAGTGCACAAAATGTAAAAATAGTGAGCATTTTTACTCAGATTTTATGACATTCGTTTCATAGATAAGTAAGCTAATTTCCCATCATATTTGAATTTGTAAGATTTGCTTCACGATTACAATGAAACTTGAATGTGACAAAAATGTCCATTTAATAATTTAACGCACTTTAAACAGTAACAGATTTCATGAATGATAGGAAGAATTCTTAAGAATAAAGCTTTCGTACAACTCTTAGCTCTATTTCATAATAAGCTATACAGTTTTTTATGTTCACACGTAGAAGTTCTGTCAATGATTTTCGATTATTTACAATTCGATCTCGGTCTTTATTAAAATATATCATAGCAATTTTGTTGTTGGTTGGATGGATAACAATACTCGTCTTTTTGATACTATCATATACTTTAAAAGCACCACAAAATCTTCCACATCCTTATCACCAAAAAGACTTTAAAGGCTCCTTCACCACAACAGCCTTTGTCATCAATAAAAAATCTATTTGGATTCGTGTTCCGATTACGGAACGCTCCCATTATCGCTTCATACGCAGCAACAAAACGACTGGTTACAAATATGAATATGGTGATAATTGTAATCTTAATAAATTCTCCTTCGTGCATATCTATTTACTATGTAAGAAAGTGTTCATATAGCTAAACATCCAGAGTTCATGATTGCTACATGTCTTTGAATTTCGAAGTCATAAAAAAATATTAATATGCTGATGGGTAGGAAACTGATGACAGCATCAACAACTATGAGTATGTATTAACAAGCACATTAAAGTAGTGTAAATGGTTCTAATACATCAGTTTGACTTTTCTTCCGTTATTCGGAAAATCGATTTACTATAGTTCTACATTTAAGTTGTAATTTTCTCAGCCATTTGAATTCATAGACTAGGAAGGTCATATTTTCACAAGTAATATCATCATACAGACGAATACTTTGCATTTAAATTTGTGAAAAAAGTTATTTTACAAGGAACATTATTTGTTTCTAATATAAACAGCTAACTAAGCGTTATTTTTAAAGAATAAAACCCTTTCATCATTATAATGAAGCGTTCATTCTGATAGAGGACACTTTATGTTTGATCATAAGTGAAAAGTTGCTATAACAGCAATAAAAAGAAGTTAGTAACATTTTCAGAAGTTTTAATGTATATTGTTTTAATATAAATACGGAATTTACAAACAAATATGCGAATTGTAAATATTTTGGGAATGAAAGATCTACAAAAAAAAGAGAACAAGTTATCATATATTCAAAAGTTTATAAACTACACATTTTATGCTTCACCGTAAACTGGACTCCGTAAAATTGAGTTTACACACTTTGCCAACAACGTATGATAGTCATTCCAATCCAATGATTGTTGCATCTTAGTCATCGTGGTAAAAGTATCCGCTGTAGGTGAAAGTTGAAGGAACGCATATTTATACCGGTCATCATTCTTTAGATGATTAGAACGTAAAGGTCGACCTTTTACTGTTAAATGCACTATTCCAAGTTCAGTAGATAAAAGTTTGGCTATCATATGAGCCAAATTCAAAGCTGTTTGATTAGCCTTTAAAAAAATCAAAAAAATGAGCGGATGTGAACAAATATGAATAAACCGCATTGGAAATTCTTATTAAACATATCCGCAAGACTTTTGTTGATTTCTGTAACTTTTCAGACTTAGAATATCAGAATTACAACGATTTTTCATCATTAGCATGAAGTTCACAACTAAACACGTCCTTAAATTTATACAATTCCATCAGTTGGTGAGGGTTTCTTAATAATTCCTAATTGGATACATATAACCAAGATAAAAGATAAACGTGAAATAAACGCTTGCTAAGATGGTGGACGATAACGAGTAAGATGTAGTGAATTAATAAGTGCTGAAAAACAAAAGACGGGGAAATGACTAGTTCGAATTACTGCCACAATTTAGCATAATAGACGGAGAAACAATGAACAGGATAAATTGAACTTGAAAACATCATAGAATAATAAGCGGGTTACAGAAAACACGAATGACTTCAAGTGAACAGTAATTGATTTTAAGTTTTATTTTATTAAATGACGTTGCGTCACAAACAGAGGGTTAGAGAAGAGTAGGTGGATGAAAATAATTTCCAAGTCAAAATTACGAAAGTAAATTGTCCACTTGACAGGTATTACGAAAAATGAAAAACGTAAAGGTCATTATGACAAATGAATAAGTTATGAAAAAATTGATAGAGGGTAATACTAATTAATTATGGTTTTAAATTCAGTCAGTCAGTCAGTAACAACGTAGAACTTCGTACGTACGTACATCAGTTCGAGTTGCCACACCACATTAGCACAGAGATGCAGTTGTCGATTCAAATCCCGTAGTGGTAGAGGTAATAAGAGTATAAGCAGTAATCGGGAAGATTATGGTTTGGAGATGTTATTTAAAGAGTATAATCTAGTGAAATAAATTTGGAAAGAGGAAAAAAGGGACATGAAGGGATGGTTTTAAATTACAAAGCAATGATAAAGACGAAACAAGACCAAAGCATATTGCAGAAGGAAATTAGGACCAAGGAAGGGTGAGAGGTTGGACGTATCGATTTGGCACACAGAGTTCGAGCTTGAACATGTGAATCTCCAAAGCCTTAGCAGTTTTTGACTCGACCTCTTTAAGATCCGGTTCCTTTGACTTTTTAGATTATTTTGAAGGAAAACTTGTTTGGAGTGACATGCCTAGAGTTGATTAAGTGCTGCTGTATTGAACTAGTGATTGTTTTGGATTCACCCTTCAAAAGCCATACCGGGTAATGCTCTGAAATGAGCTTTGAAAGTGATTGATTTGTGCAGCCAATGTAACCTGTCCCACAGGAGCAAGTCAATTCATAAACGCACATCGATGTGGTCCACAGCGGAAGTTTATCCTTAACATCTATCTTTCTACAGACATGTAGTTAATAGTTGAATTCATGATTTGATTAAAGTTAGACCACCATGGAAAACCTGGAAGCACTGAACGACTGTTTCGTCCTAGTATGGGACACCTCTGCAGTGGGTGTCCACGACATCCCGAACGCGAGACCCGAACCCGTTCACTGCTTTCACGTTTTCTATGCTGGTCTAGCTTTAAACGGCTCATGATTTCAACTATTAGATTACTACAATCTCCACAAACTCCTATTTTGATAAGATTTATATTTAACAGACAACTATGAATACGAATGTACAGCTTGATTAAATGATTTCATCAAAAAGAAAATTTTCTTCGTTGGATTTTATTCACTTTTAATCAATCAAACGATAGGTTAATTTATTTAAGCTTACTGAATTTTATACGTAAGACAATAGACGTTTTTGCACTGACTTACATGTGATTTTGGAAAATAGCAAATAGCTAAATTCATACTATAGACAACAAATGGTTGAGTCGTATTGAGTTGTATAAATGCAAAAATAAGCTGTAAGATAACAAAAAAAAACAGAGACAGTAAAGAAATATCAAATAGTCTGAACAATTTCTTTTAAAAGTCATGTCAATTAATTTTACTGTTAGATGTATACATTTTGATTGAAAACTAAGAGAAAATCGGATGGAAATGTCAAATTTATATTTGCCTTTACGTCTGTCAAATGAATGGATATTCTAGAGAACATCGAAGCCATGGATTATACCAGATATGATAAATACCACTCTATACTTCAAGAAATATATAGAAAGTAAAGAAATGATTAAAACAATAGTTAAACAAAATCGTTTATAAATTAAAGAAACTTACATCATCTAATCTATGAAAATCAAGTTGAGAAATTACAGCTTGAGATGTTTCACAGTTATTATTTCCAATCATTATTTTCATGTTATCAATGTATAATTGGACATGGTCAGTATCAATGATATCTGTTTTATGATTGATACGGAAAAGATTGGTTTCTAACGCTAATCGAGCATATAATGGGAGAAATCCAGTATAGTGTGGATCATTTAAAACAGATTCATACCAATCCATATGAATAGCTGCTTTTTTAGGATCATGAATAGCTTCTTTTTCTCTTGATAAACCTTCTTGAATCAATTCATTAGCACATTGATGTGCAGATTTAGCCAAATGACCAAAAATGCAAGTGAACTAAGATGAAGTAATCAAAATACATATTGATGTTACGTGATTTTAAAAAAATACACAATACAAAACTCTTACACAATTAGTAAAAGGAATTAAGCAGCTGATAGATAGCATCATTACTGTAAACGATTTTGTAGTCGGCTTTGGAATAAGACACTTCTCTTACTAGTCAAAGACAGCCTCCTACCGTTGTTATAATTAAAATATCGACAGACGGATAAATCATGACCGTAAATTTAACTGAAATTTTTTTATGAAACTACTTGATGCTAAGAGAATTGGTTATGTACAGAACAATAAGTTAACATTTTACGAATACTGACATTTTTTCTTGTTTTTTCTATACGAAAGTAGAGCCCTATGTTTGAGTACACTATGTGATTTATTACGGAGTCAGGTTATTTATGATTTACAACAGGAATTTCGACATCGAACAAACTTAAAATAATTCTATTCGTTAAATGAAATTAATAAAAGTAACATGTAATCAACTGATTCATAAAGAGATTAATTGTTTTTAAGATTTTATCTATTCATGGTTTATTTGCTCGTAGCCATATACGTTTTCTTAACACATATATGAAGTAAAACTTGATTGAAGGGTTTTCAAACTTTAAATCAACGGATAAAATGTTGAAAATCGGAAAAAAATGTAACACACGTCCATCCATGAATAAATGATGAAGTCATTATGCCACAGTTAACTATTGAAAATGATTAGTAAATGAGTAAGTGTAATCTAGTAAAGTTAACATAGAACAACTATATACCCATAAGTTAATACATATTTATCTTTTATTTAAATATAAGAAACGTATTTTTTGACATAACAAAGTATACATACACTTTCATTTTGATGCTATCGAGCAGAAATTTGATATGGTTTAAGGATAATAACTATAGTTATTTGTCAATATTATGATAAAGTACAAGAATAATGAAATATTAACTTAAAAAACTAATATCACACGAAACAAACAAGTATATAGTGACAAGGAGGAGATACTTCTAAAGTTTATACACTCAATTATAAATACGTAGTGAAATTTGGCTTACTTCTTTGACTGTTTTTTGACGTCCTTTAACTGCAACCACCGCTATATCCAGTAAATCAGATAACTCAAAAAGATGTGTCCCTCCGCACAATTCAGCTGAGATGACAGAATTAAAATCTGTTAGTTCATGATCATTGATTGGATGTTTTTGTTTTGTTATACACACAGTACGTACTTTTGCACTATACTCCTCCCAAGGGAAGTATCGAATTTGTTTCACCTTGAAAAAATAGTATGAAAAGTGATTTTTGGTTTATTCAGTAAAGACGGACTGACATCATATACATGGACCCTGGCACAGACTTCGGTTCGCACAAGTCTCCATACCATATTATCATGGCAAAATGAAAAAAGAAAAAGAGGTCAAAGTAGCAGCAATAGTAGGATGACGAAAACTTGGGAATATGGTTTAAAAATGTATTGGGATTAAGGGTCGAAAGAAAGGTAAAGAGTGAATGCATTTGCGTCATTGTGAGCCGTGATACCCAAAGTGTCCAACAACTGACCAATAAGGAATAATCAGCTGTACCAATATAGTAGGAACCCTTTAGACGCTTACGTAATAACAACTACAAAAAATTAGTCGATTATAAGATTAAAATTAGGTCTCAGGGATGTACACGTGCGTATCTAAGGACAAACACTGGAAAGGCGGAGACTAAAGTCAATATTAGCATCTCTGAGCACATGCTTCAGAAATTAATACTGAGAGGTCATCATACTTTTGATAGTACGACCGTTTATTATTTACTTAATTGTGGCAGGAGGTTTACATTTCAAAACTACACAAAATTACCAAAAAGCAAACGATTTTAAAGTTGTTTAGTTTGACCGATGGGATTTCTATTAAAAGGCTTAAAGTAAATTTATGTATTTAGAAAAATGTTCTAGTCAGTCTTGCACTACGCTGATGACCAACATTTAGTTGCATCACAGGTAATTTTGAACTTTCAATTATAAATCTATTCTCTTTACCCTTTTCTATACCTTATCTGAGATTTACACATTTTTGTCTTATAAAAAATCCTTTTTTATAATTGTTATTAAACAACTTATATATTATTTTTTAGTAACTTGCTTCTACGCTTCTTAAAGTCTTTTTTCTGGAATGTTCAAATTATCTAACGTATAAATAAATATTCAGCCACTTAACCCCATCTCTTACGATTTCTCCACAATTATTACTCTTTCTTTCAAAATACACTGATGAAAACTTTTCTGATATTATGATATAAAGAATGTACACTACTTTGCTTAATCTAAATAATTAATACTATTTGTTTCTAGATTGTAAGTATCTGGAGAGAAGTTGTGAGATAAATAAATTCATATTATTATGTTACAATTGTCTTTCTTGATTTATTTAAATTTACAAATGGGAAAAAGTGAATGAACGAATGATCGATTACTTTAGGAATAATTATAATTTCTATAACATTTCTATCATATGATGACGGGAAATAAATATAACAAACTGCTATACGGTTGTACAAGGTACCGATATTTACTTTTTATGATTAAATTATGTGACATTCATCTGACATTGTTGCCTATTAGTTCGCGTGACATGTAGAGTAACAAAATGAAATTGATACTTTAGAACACTAAGTGATATGGTGTAAGACCAGTAGGGCAGTTTCATTGCCTCATTACACAGAAGATGGGTATCTAAATTAAGAAACAACCAATGATCTAGGAGCAGAAGCTGCTCATAAATAAGCATATTATAAACTCGGTTTCTTCAGAAATACAACTGAAAATTGACCAGCTGATAACTAAGTATTACAGGGGCACTACTTACCGGTGACAAGAATTTGATAAGAACGTAAGCAGAAACCATTACTATAATATAAAAAAAGACTTCTAAGTTACAGTTCTGAGAATTATTAGAAAAATATTAATTTAGTTTTATAAATCCTCCTTTTCTATAAACATTTTATACGTATCTCCACTCCAAGTGACTACATTTTAACGTAGATAATATGAATAAATATTGTAACGCTTGTAACTAAGTTCACGCTATGTCGAATAAAAATCCGCAACTCACTTTTAAAGCATGTGCCAATTCTGTATTCCAAATGGAAATAAATCCATTTTCATTAATTAACTTTTGACACTTTTGTTCTAATTGTCTTGTAAAATTACCTAAATCTTCTTGCATTAGTTGTGACGCTGAACCGATAATAGCAGCTTTTACTGTGAAATAATTGGGGTGAGAAGTACCACCAATATGTTGGAATGCTGAAGAATGCGATAGCACTGATGATTCTAGAGCTGATGTAAATAAATGCTGACCAGTATGTGAACACATGAGATTAAATCTACGTTCCTGAAGTCGAAAAAGGAGAAAATAAGAAATATATATTTCCTTATGGAAAGTCGAGTTCAAAAGAATAGAAAAGAATTATACTAATGGCATGGTTATTTGAGTGGGTGCATTTTAATATTGTTCAATTGTTTTATAAGTTGTAAGGATGGATGTATGAATCTTATTACGAGAAAACACCGTCTTTGCTGACAACTATGTGAAACTTAGTAGGTCAATAAAAATTAGCATAAGGCATCTGCGAAGATTTAGGATTTTCAATTTTAGATCATAATCTTGGCTAAAACTCTATTTGAAAACTGAGAGCATTGGGAGGTCGATTCGTCCAAGTGTGGGACTCTTCAGTAGTGCGCACCTACAACCCCACACACGGGAATCGGTCTCGCGCGAGAACACTTGCACACTCTAAGCTACTGAACCAGCATCTACTAGTGTTAATGTCCAACTTCAATCAATCCACATTATAGAAATCCCATCTACCATTTGACGCAGATAACGGTCTCATACTCCACACGGATTGAATTCCACCGCGTCCATACTAGGACGAAACGGCCGTCCAGTGCTTCCAGGTGTTCACTGGTGGTCTAGCTAAGATCACTTCGTGATTCTATTGGTATCTTTATTTTAGATGAAAACTAAGAACAAAATAGAAGAATCCGCTCTAAATTCGACGAAAACAACAACGGAAGTTATCTCATGACAAAAACATAGACTACAAAAGGATAGTAGATTAGAATGATATAAGCTGAAGTAAGAAAAATAGTAAAGTCAGCGATCGATACATGATTTCATATAGTGTGATAACACTACAACTGTTATGACTGTCAAACACAAATGAACGAAAGTATAATTAAAATGGTGGTTGGTTTTAAATACACAACGTAAAATGCGTGTTGATATGGAAGAAGCTAGACCATTTGGACTTCGCAGATGACCTAGTCCTTCTATACCATACACACTAACAAATGTAAATGAAGACAACTAGCATATCAACAGACTTTGCAACAGTAGATATCAGCATACACAAGAGAAAAACAACATCCTCAAATACAACACGGAGAACACCAACCCAATCACATCTGGTGGAGAAGCTCTTCAAGAGGTGAACGTAAATGCAAGAATTGACAAATCAAAAGCAGCATTCCTACAACTGGAGAACATATGGAACTCAAAACAACTATCAACCAATATCAAAGTCAGAATCTTCAATACAAATGCCACGACAGTTCTACTGTAAGGAGCTGACACTTGGAGAACTGCTACAAGCATCATCACAAGGTGCAAGTATTTATAAATCATTGTCTATGCAATATACGGAATGTCAGTTGGCTGGATACCATCAGCAACGGCCTACTTGGGGGAGAACAAATCAGGTTCCACTGAAGAGGAAATTAGCAAAATATGTTGGAAGTGGATAGAACATATATTACGGAAATTATCAAGCTTCATCACAAAGCAAGCGCGAACTTGGAATCCTGAAGGGAAAAGAAAAAAAGACCGAGGAACAAATTAGGCCGGCAATTGGGAGCAGACATGAAAAGGGACTGTCCAGGACAGAGATCGATGGAGAATGCTGGTGGGCGGTCTATGCTCCTCCACGGGGGATAACAGGAGTAAATAAAGTAAAGTAAGAGTGTTGACAACTATCGCTCACTACAGGTCGAAGATCGTAAGGACAAAAGAATTGAAATGCCTTTAATTAATATAAATATGATCAGTAATCCTGTAGATTACAATATCATAAAAGTGTTCATGACAATATCATGTTGTGATGACCGTTAGCTGATGATAAATTATCACGTAAATAAAGTATGAATTATTTATCAGAGGATTTATAATTAAGTCATTAAAATTATATCGTATGATACAAGAAAAAATGTACTCACTTTATCAATACTTAAAACAAAAGATTGATCAAAATTCAGATTATTTAATGAAGGAAATACATTATCTGGTTTATGACACCAATGTATAATCCAACCATTAGTTGAAGAATTCGAAATAGGATCAGAAACAAAAGTTGTTTCAATAACTTGAAATTGAAGAATCTGAAGGTGAGCAATCAAAAACAAATAACGACAGATACAGTATTTTTAAACATTAAGTGTTACAAAGGATAAAAATGTTACGGTATGGAAGCTAATAAAAAAAAAACACGTAAAAATATAATAAAGCTAATTCGAAAAGTTTATATAATTACTAACCGTCACTCCTTTATTTCTTTACAATATTATAACTTTATCTATGTGAAGTATACAAACGCATTCGTTTGCTAACATAAAACTAGTGGGTTAAGAAAAGTCAAACATTTTTGTTATTATTTACTGAAATGCAATGAAAACGTGAAGTCGACCGATGGCTATTAACAAAAAGCATTAGTTCGATAGAAAATGTAACAAATGTCAAACCGAATTTGTTTTAATACATAATGTTTAACAACATAGTAAAAATGATAACAATTTATTTATTAAACAAAATGTAAAGTTACTTACTGGATAGTGATCTATTAAACAAAAAGGCTTAAACATAAATAACTCTGGAAAACCTACATTTATCAATTGATGAAAGTTTGTTGCTGATCTTATTTTCATTTCATCATTCACTATACACGTAAGTTTAAATCTAATAAGTGAAGCAACATACTACAGTTATGCCAAAAAAACTAATAATTTAAAAGTAAACTCGATGTTTAGTTACGTGAAGGGAGATAAACTGGCGACCTGATTGAATATCTGAACTATCTCTTCCTGTCATTTAGATATTTTAACAAGTTATCTGCTTTTGTTTGTTTTAACACATCATTATTTCTATTAATCGCATATCCTATTCAGGCGCAGTTATGTAAAGTTTACGACCTTTCGCTATACAAGTTACAAAAAAGTACAATGATAGACATCGTGGTAGCTGGCAATATGCATTTAAAAGAAAACATTATTCAGATGTTGACTCTTGGAGTGATAACATTTAACTGTCTATCAATCAATATTTGTCGTCAGGACCGGTCAAGAAATAAGAAGACGAAACTTATTGAAATACTTTGTGCTGAGAATTCTATGTTGTACCAAAAATATAATTTTGAGTAAAGTTATTGATAATAATAATAATAGCAATAATAATAATAGGAATAATAATACTTATTTACGTTCACACAAAATATTTCTTTTTGGAGTATAGTTTCATAGAAATTACCTTAGAAGGATAGTGAATAAAACCGGTATCAGTGTCTTGACCACCACATGATGTAAAAAAGTTAGTTTTTTCAAAAATAAAACCGAGTAAATTATTAGCAATTTCATTATTTGATGCATCGCATAGATTTTGAGTGACAGAAGTGACATTTGAATCCGATAAAGATTGTTTTGTAATTAACGTATAATCTGTATCTTTATTACCAATGGCAAGTAATCCTAGTAATTTTGTTTCACAATCTGGGAAATCTATAACAAAGAAAAAGTATATGGTGCGGAGTAGATGAATGTATATGTATTAAATTGAAAGCTCCTATGGTTATATTACTCTCATTCGGTGAATTTATCGCAGTTTGATCAAGGATAACAACAAAACACATTATATAGAAGTATACAGCTACGTTTTCGAAAAAAGTATCTATACACTCTTGTTTCCAACAAACATCAAATATGTAAACAACTGATTTGACAATCAAAAACTCATTTCATTAACCTGAGTATGAATATTGTGTTGAGATATCCTATCACAAGAATATCGCGTAATTTACAAGACTCGGATAGACATATTAACAAAGATGATTATGGTACTACACTACTCTACCACTTGTAGTTAAATAAGTTTATGTGTTAACCAAGTGATTAATAGACATAATGAAGGGATTTTAAAGCTTAAACATGTGCTATTATCTATACCAAACAGAAATCCATTCATGATATGGAGCGTGCTCAACCTATTCATAATATGGTGACCTAAATATCAATAACTTTAAGAGTCAGCGAAGTTTGAAAGATATAGCAAATCAATGAAGCATAAATATATACATACCACAGGTAACCTAAAAGAATCTCAATGACTTACTTCTTGGTCGCCTATACTTTAGCATTTATTATAAGTGATTACTATCTCTCTACTGGAGATCAAGGGTTAAATTTAAAAGAAAAACATGTTTTCTTCATTGAGTTAATGAAATAAAAGTTTCGAGCTATCTACCAATTGTTACTAGTCACTTGGAGAAATTTCTTTAATAGATATAAATTTAATACCACCATTTGGAGATTCACGTTTCAGATTTCGCAGATAGTAGAAGCTGGTAGAAAAATACCTTAAATTATGAACTTGAAATTTAGAATTATTGGATTCAAGAAATATGCGGCATATCAGTCGTTTCAATCTAAATCAAGCTTTCAATAAAAAACTGACATGTCGTGATAGTGTAATGCAGTCTATAACTCACCGTATTGTCCAGTTGCATTTGGATCCAGTTCAGATTTTTGATAACAATTATATTTAAACGAATCATCCGTAAACGGTACACATAAATTATGCAACTGACGTGAAATTACATTTGAATCTAATTTCTGATTTCTAAACAGTAGTGGTTTATTCTTGTCCGATGGAGAGTTAGTTTCGATTGGTAAGGGTGGTAAAAGACCAGCCCAACATGATTGTGCACATATCATATCCCAGCTTACATGATGTCCATAATCACCGTTCATTAATTTAGTTACTTGTTCAGCTAAATAATGAAAGTAGTAATATTGATAAAGAAAAATGGTAAGTGTTGAAAATTCTCATAAAGTATGAGGTAGGTTTTTAACATTTGAGCAGTTGTATAGGTATTTCTAGAAGACTGAATTTTTAAGTACAAATTACAGGATTGTGTTGGTGATATTGTGAACACACATCTCAACCAGTTATTAAGAAATGAGCAGATGCAAGCCGAAGATACTTTCAATTGAATTGAAGTATTAATCCGATGGTGAAAATACTTCGATATATTTGTAATGATCTTAACTGATAAAAACATTTATCCCTTAACATGGGTGTAAACCGCAAATCTTCCAATCTAGTTTCTGATACGATTTCTAATTTAATAGTTCCGTTTACAATTTTAAAAAATACAAGGCGATAAATAGCATTGACTCCAGCTTATGTTTTGTCTTATAAAACGACGTAAGCCAAGTATGTAGTAAAACAACTGAGTACCTATCTTTATATACTAAGCAAATAGTGAACGATATACGGGTTGTGGTTACATCATCATGTGCAACGCAGTGTCGTGACTGTAAGATTTTTCCCATGGATTACTAAAACCGTCAATGATTCTATCTTCCTAGATAGGAGGATCTTAAATGGACGATACTTCGCCTGCCCCAGGAATTTTCAGTACAAAATGTTGGTATTATTTGTATAATACCAGAAAAAAATAGTTCATAAACTGATGGCGTTGAGAAGTCTCATTGACTAAAGTGATGGAGATATGTGTAATGCATAACTTATCACTGCTTATCCCGATGTGGCTAGAATTAGAGTACAGGTTGAATAAACGATAAACAACAACCAGAAAAAGACATGGTACTGGTTCAAAAGTAATTGCTCTGGTAGAGTCCAGAGATATTGGGTTATTACTATTACTATTATTTTCATTGGTTTACTTTACCTCTTGATTAATTTCCACTGTAATGATACAAATTTGTAGCAGATTCTACAATATTTATGTTTGTATCCTAACTGAATTCCTTAAAGAACTTATATAGCTGATATTAAACTGTTCATTAGTTAACTATTCCTTTATTCTTAAATTTGTTCCATCAATTATCTGAAACCGAAAACAATTTTCAAACAAACTTAATATGCCGATGTAATCGTGTAATTCTTTAACTCGAAACTTAAAATCATTTTGAAAAGACGTATTTCGGTTATAGATATTTTTCGAGTAAATGTTGAAGTAAATGAGTGTCCCTGAGATAAATTTGAAAAACGTTTAATTGTTTGATACATATTTTAAAAGTAGTCCAATAATGCTTAAGTTGATCTTGTTAGAAATCTCTCGATTCACACAATGATTGAAATATCACGATAAATCTGACATCGCACGAACAGTGTAATACAAAAACACAATGATATATAATACATTTAATATGAGTAAAAGTCTTTACTGATCTGTTAGCAATAAACAGTAAATAGAACTTAGCACAAATATATATCGCCTCAAGTTGTTACACTTCATGGACAGAGGCTGTATTTTATTCTAGCCTTTTCAACCCGCCTTTCAAGCAATTCCTATACCAACCAATATTGCCACATGGCGATAGAGAGGGGTTAACAATCCATGCTACATATTTCAGTCACTTTAACCGAGGAAGGTCTATTTCCACCTTAAATGAGTTGTCGTGGATAGTTAATACGCTACTTTTAATATCAGAATTACCTATACGACGATAGCTCATTTTAGCGAAAATCAAGGAGCCCATTAGTGTTCATCCCGAGGTTTTATCAGCCAAAAATCTATCTGAACTGATAATATTTTCGAGAAAGGTGAGGTGATCATTGAGCAGAACTGTTACACTATCTACAGCTACTTTAAACATAAATCCAGATCAGTTCCAATCACATTTTATGAGAGATGGGATAGCTCCCGATAGTATTTAATTGTCACTCAAAAGGTTCAGACAACTTTGTATTGTATCAGTGTCTTTGATATACAAGTGTGTTGTCTGTGTACTCCGAGTCGATAGTAAAGTCTTCAGTTAGGAGATGAATCCTTAAAAGCTCACTTAGTAGATGTACATCTAAAACAAAATCAAATCAAAATATAGAAAAAAGGCACAAATTACGTGAGCCAAAGCTCAAACCCAATGGTTAAAAGTTAAATAATATACTTACCAGACTACTGTGTCAAGGCTGGTTGATAACGAGAATTGGAATTGACACGTATACATGTAAAACTTAGTAAATCAGTCACTAAATTAGTCCTAATCAAAAATGTGATACTAACTGATCATCAGATGATAGATTTCTCCGATAATCAAAATGACTAAAGAACATACATACACTAGATTGAAATGGACTTGTTGATTTAGTAAAGAATACCTACATTTAAACTAGTCTGAACTCAAAATTACGGTCCATGTATTTTTCAAAATAGTAATGACGTGAAAACGGAGCATTAATCAATATTAGATGTCACGGAAGAGTAAATATTCTATTAAAAGTACCTAGTTTGCATTTTTAATTCACGTACGTGTCTATTTTCCCGGAAAGGATCCCAGAGATTAAACAAATCACTGATTCAAGTTTACTAGTTCAGACATAGAACAAAAGTCAAGATTTCCTTGCTATTTAAACCATGATATATATTTAAAGAACTGTTCTAGCCATAACCAAAACTTCCATTGACTTATTTCTCTGTAATAATAATAATTATTATTATTTTGTAAAGTATATCCGTCAGTGCCTACACCTCATCAAGTTTATGTTGCAAGTTTAAACAAATCAATAATTCTACAAACATCACTGCTTCATATATTACCTGACAGTTGTCTCCTATCGATGCATTCTTCCAAACATCGATTAAACGAATTTTCTATATGAAATAAACGAGGTGCAAACGAAGTCACTTCTTCATTAATAATTGATTCCATCTGTAGTAATTAAGAGTTGATTATTGTCAAATAAGATATAAACAAACCAAGTCTAACAAAGATATATATTCAATTTTAAAGAAAAGCAAATTAAAAGTCACACAATAAAGATTTTAGAGTTTAAAAGCTGTACTTTAAATGAATATTTTAAATATCCAATCGAATATTTTAATTTAACATAAGTAGCTTTTTATCACAGAATGATAGAAATTGAGGAGATCAGTTAACTCCAGAGACCACTGGAAGGTTATTCTGTTCTACTTTGTGGCTCTTAAGTAGAATTTGTTCCTAATCATTTTGATAACTGATGACCAGCTTTCTTCAAATAAAATCAATTCACGGAATACTGGAACCACAATCTACAATGTCATTCAGTTAACATTCATCCACATTACAAATATATGTTGTGTACCATATAAATGAAAATAAAATAAAAATATTATTGATGTCATTTTTTTGCATCTTTGATAGAAAAAAAAGTTCGATGATTTTGAAGTTGAACACTAAATTATTTGATCACTGTTGCAGATAACGGAGATATTCATCAGACGAGGATGGAATATATATATATATATATATTCAGCTAATTAATCGAATTTTAACCAATAAATGATGATGACAACTCCTTACATAATGAGTCAGTTCTGAATCTTTTCACAGTTATACTGTTCGCTATAGGTTCTTTGAATAAAAGAATACTGTTGATTAAGATTGACTATAAGATGTGTGGTAAACTAGTGCCCCTTAAAGAAAAAAGGAAAATAAAAACCAAGTTGATCCAGTAAACAAAGCAATCTATTTTAATGCAAAGTAATGAGCACATTATATGTTAAACAAGTCGTAGAGAATATTATTATGTGACAAATATCTTATAAACGCTTACAAAAGTGAAAGTGGAACTTCACTCATCTAGCGTAAACACATCAAAACATTAAACTAATTGAGAAAAGCATTCGCTGAAATCACAGTAGTATACAATAGGAAAATATGATATAATTTATGTGGTCTGTACGAGTTCGAGAAATTTATAAACATCAATATGATAATCAGCTCACTTGTTCCGGAGTTATTGCATCAGATTTTCTACAGCTAGGTCCTCTTATGGTAGCCATTGTGTTAAAAAACGACTGAAGACTGAGGACATCTCTTTTGGCTACTTCGGATACCAAAGCTCCCAGGAGAGATTTTATTTTCCCCGACGTAGTTATTTCTGTATCAAGACCAGTTAAAACAGATGCACGAAAAGCTCGATGAATAAGCTGACGAATTTTCAGAGGTAAACCTTGACGTCCTGGTAATAAACCATCTGATAAGGCGAATGCTAAAGCACGACTATGATCGACCAATACTCGATAGGCGGTATCTCGATGCCACATATCAACAAGATCATTGTCCATGTTAAAATTTTTCCAAGAATGATCAAGGGCAAGATGTGATTTTGAGCAGAGAGCCTATATAGGTAAGTCGAAGCGCACATGAATGAAACAAAAACTCACTGGTAATATAAGCACTTTTGACAGTCGTCTATGGTGATTTATAAAAATGCAAACTATCACTGAAATTTAAATAATATTCACCTTACTTATCAACCGACAGAACACGGTGATAACTAAGAGTGGAACGCAGCTATTTAGACTTCTAGTATTAATGTTTCCTTTGACTCTTCGGTTTACTATACAAGACCACAAATGAGTGTTTTGTCTCCAGAGATATAATATTATAACAGTAATTTGTTTAATAATAGTGGTTTATTGTTATAACAAATCAATTCGTATAACTTTCCTAAAACCAATAACTTGATAACTTCTTTATAAATAAGGATGATAAACGAACTAACAACACCATAAATCATTAAGTCACGAAAGCAATATGTGTTTATACTTCATTTCTAATGGCCAATTCTTAACAATTTGCATTATCGATACTAATTAATTATATTTTTAGTTGTATAAGATCACCGCTTACATATTTACACTACTAGTTTGTAAGGATAACATTGTCGTTCTCAAAACAGTTTAAATCTTTTTTCGTCAACAAACAGTCGCATGTAGTTTATTTTCTTTCCAAAGTCGACATTGAATACAAAATTAAAATTTTCTGTGGCAATTAACGTTAAAATGTTTGATTAATTTGAGTGAAACTAATAATTATAAATTAAGTACCTAATACTCTAACTAGCAACGTATAAAAATCTAAGTGAAAACCTTTTAAGGAAATACTTACAGAAGACGAAGATTTTCCAGATATTTTATTCCACAGAGAAGATAGAGTAATTTCTGATTGATCTTTGTCTGTTTTAGTTTCAACATCTTGTAGAGGATTGGATAAAAATAAACCTTGATAAACAGGCACAGAAGGATTATATGAGTTTGCCTTTGAGTGTATGAATTCCATTAAACTATTCATCTCATAGGAATCATAATTCGACGTCATTCCCTGTAAGATGATTATTGAAAAATGAACAAGATCAAACAATTGGTAAAATAATACAAAACAAATGGATGGGTCAAGCCATTTTTATGTTTTTAGGCAGATCACATAGTATTACTGTTATTGTCCTTTTAGGTTTCAGGATTTCAAACAAGCTAACTGACATTAAACCATATCGTTTGATTTTTCTTCTACCAGTCTGTTAGGTGTACTTCGATCTTATCTGTCAAATCACTGTTTACTGCCAGTTTGGGAAAATTACTCCCGTCATTTAGTAAAGCGTACATTTTTTTGAATAGTCTTTTCTGTCCATCCGAACTACTTTATAACCTTCGTCTGGTTTTGAGATTAACAAATCGCCACTCGTTCTAAGTTCATGTGAAACTCGTTTGCACTTCTTCGTCAAAATGCCTTTCGAATTATATCTGCTGCTTAAGTGCTTAAAGCAGTAATTACCTAGTGTATATTTCAACTTTTCGATATCATTGTCGAAGGTACTAACTATACATTCCGTTTGTGCTTTAATTTGTAAATCCAGTGTTTATATTTGCTTCGCTGAGCCATACGCGGTAGTTCAGTTACAAATTGTGAATCCTTTCTCAAAAGATTTCAATAAAGCGGAAATTCCCATTTAAACAAACCTCTATTTGAAATCATGCTGAGAATTCTTATGCTATTCAAGAGTTCGACTTAATGGGAGGACGCTGAAAAGTTATACGTCAAACAAAATTTGTTTGTTGAATTTCTTCATAAATGAAGCATTTGGAGACGAATTATATGCAGTCGATGAATAATCAAAATTCTCAAAACAAAATGTTTTGGCTACGTGATGATGGTTGCTATAGAAAGTAAAGATAAAAAACGTATCTAGCTACTGACAAACCTAAAAATAGTTTCTGAAATTACGTTTTCACCAAGCCCAGGTCAAGATGTTGATAATTTCACCAGTTTTGATCTTACAATGGTGAAGTTAGAAGTATTATCAATCGACCCTAAGTTTTTTTATGTTACGAAAATGGTTAGTAAGATGGAAAACATGTATACATAAACGGAATGTATAGTTAGTACCTTCGACAATGATATCGAAAAGTTGAAATATACACTAGGTAATTACTGCTTTAAGCACTTAAGCAGCAGATATAATTCGAAAGGCATTTTGACGAAGAAGTGCAAACGAGTTTCACATGAACTTAGAACGAGTGGCGATTTGTTAATCTCAAAACCAGACGAAGGTTATAAAGTAGTTCGGATGGACAGAAAAGATTATTCAAAAAATGTACGCTTTACTAAATGACGGGAGTAATTTTCCCAAACTGGCAGTAAACAGTGATTTGACAGATAAGATCGAAGTACACCTAACAGACTGGTAGAAGAAAAATCAAACGATATGGTTTAATGTCAGTTAGCTTGTTTGAAATCCTGAAACCTAAAAGGACAATAACAGTAATACTATGTGATCTGCCTAAAAACATAAAAATGATTCGATTCATCCGAACAGTTTTGGTTATGAATAATTCTGCATATCACCTTAGAGCGTAAATGCTAATAAAATCTTTGGTAACAGGAAGTATTTACTATCAATATTAAACTGGAAAATAAAACTTAAGAAGTACAAAAAACTTTAATGAACTAACCTGCATCACACATGCTAGTCGTTCTAGTCCCATTCCAGTATCTACAAATGACTTATTTAAAGGTTGAAGAAGGTCAGGTTTCAAATGTTTCTCTGTCACATCGTTATCAGCTATGATACGATGTGTTATGAAAACACAATTCCACAGTTCCAAAACTTGAGGGCTAGAAGTATTCACTAAACAACGTGCACAGTCTAATTGGTCTCCACCGCAGAGTGCTTTGAAATCTATGTGTACTTCAGTTGACGGACCACACAATCCTCCACCACTAAACTGATTTGCACGCCAAAAGTTTGATTCGATACCGAATGGCATTAATTTTTGATCCATCACCCTGGAATAAGATAAATTAAGTTTAATATTTCAGTATTGGTCAGAAACAGTGAATCATATTATTAAATATTTTCATATCTTATCGAATATTGTAATACGAAGGGTTCATATTACAAAAATATTTTGTACTGTAGAAAACCCAACTATTGACGAGATGATAGTATGATGTAGATGAGTTAAGTGTCACATAATGCGTGAGTTGTATTCAATGTCCTTTGTGCTCTGGTAAATAAAAGTATCTAGCAGAAGAGAGTGGAGGTGATTGCCTCGTGGAGCTGTGACTACGGCCACTACGTTGTACGTTGTAACTCTCATCCGAATTCAAGGGCGCTAACCTGTGTTTGGTAGAAGAGTCGAATAAATAAGGTAGATTATTTCTCTTGACAACCTAAATAGCAATTTATTATAACAGAAGAATATTAGGCTGGATCTACACAACTCAAAGTTCATCTCCAGCTGAACTAGAAAACTTTCCAATTCATATTTAAACAAATGTACGTCAGTAGGTATTTCTTCCCTCACATTGATAATCCTAGCTTCATGCCAATATAAAAACATTTTAGCTAAGATCAACAAAAAATAAAACGGTATGGTAGATCAGTTGGTTACATCCACACCACAAAAAATTGAGAAAGAATAATAAGTAATAGATCTCAAAATGCACTGAACAACCACAACAATTTAAAAATACGAAATTCTTTTAATTTGTACAGACAAAAAGATGAAACTTTGACGCAGCAGACTAGGCGCCACCAACTGCTTGGTGGGTTAAGAGTTAAAATATTATTTCACTTTGAAAAAGGGTCCGATGTATGATCGTAAGAGAAAGTTTGCATAAAACTGAATTATAATAGTTTCACCTTGGAAAAATTGACGTTGTTTAAAATATACACAATCATACGCGTAAACTTTACTGCGTGAACGAATAAACGAATATAAAAACTTCACTGTTTTTGAAGTGATTGTGATGAGTATGTAAACAGATGAAACTCAGTAGCTAAGTTCATGCTCATGTTTCATATTTATTGTGTAGAAGTTAATGACGCTAGTCGATTATTCAGATTTCGCTCTTTAACGGCATGAGTCTATCGCACGAACATTTATTCGTCGCCTACTGATGGATACTCATATAAATCGAAGTAATATAGTCGGAAATATTTTCTATTACTCACAACTAACTGTCCAAATATCCAGAAAATTAGTCTAGACAATGGATTATCAACTTACCCCAAGTTCAGCCAGATATCACGTGTCTCATCATCTGGAGGAAGTCCAAGTTTTTGATCACCACCGAAATATGTTATGTAAATTGCATTGGTAGGCAGGTTTAACACCTTAGTAAGAAATTTCCAAACCTGAGAGCAAGCCTCTTTCTAAGGCATACCACAGTCACGTAAAAAAGCAAAAAACAGAGACAGCAACAATTTTCATAGAATTATTTGAACGACAAAGGTTTGAATCAGGTATACTAAATAACTCTGAATAAAACAGGTATGGATAGTGGGTGATATATCTTAAAATCGGTTACAATGGTTCAGCGAAATTCAACCCTCTTTCGTTAAATCCTGAGCTCGGTTATAATTGCATGCATATCTTTTTATTACATTCTCGTTGTATTAGGCATTTGTCTCTAAATAAATAAGACGGTTTTTGAATTTGACGGTGCGACAGTTGGCCTCCTAGTTAATAGTCATTGAAACTAACAAATCAAACGAATGTTTAGTGAAACTCATTTACCAAGAAAAGGTTTATCTATTTAACCTTGAGCCATGTTTTTTGTGAGAGCGAATGACTTCCAACTGTTGAAAATGAGGTCGGTAAAGCGGGGTTCAAACCCGTGATCCAGTGATTTAGATGTTGCCTATAAGTTAAGTGCATTCACGATTATATTTGAAATAGATATCAGTGTACACAAATTCAATACAAATTTTTGGACTAATGATTTGTTCCAAAGAAATTTACCAAGACGGAATAGACTAAACTAAACATATCCATGATAACTCTTATTTTCCACGCTTAGGACACAACACAAAATCGTCAACCATCATGAGTTAACTAATTTGGTGAAAATGAACACACAATTAACTGGTTCCATACTAATCAAAATTTTCGCCCGTAAAACTGAGACAAACCTTATAGTAGTCCCCGAACGACCAACTGCCCAACATTTCAAACATTGTATGATGATGCCTATCATATCCCACATCATTTAAATCATCATGACGACCACCGATTCGAATACATGGCTGTGAGTTCGTAGCACGACGTAACTGCTTAAATTCTGAACAAATACTATCCGACTGGTTGAGAAAAATTGATTTAAATTGGTTCATACCTATCCTGACCGAATAGAAAAAAAGTACAGGAAAACCAACAAGTAACTTTTAAAAATTTAATTTCATGAAACTATATTAATGGAATGCATTGCTGAGGAGTCCCACAATAGGACGAAAGGGCAGTCCAGTGCTCCCAGGTTTTCAATGGTGGTCTAACGTCAATCGGTTCATGATTTCAATCAGAAACTTAATGATCTCTACAACCCTATACTGTTACTGTAATGAATTACAGAGCAAAACATGGTGATACTACTCCATAATTAAAACCTCGACAAATCAAAATATAGAACTTGCAACCCATTAGCAAAACATCAGACCCCTAAACCTACGAGGTAAGGCTGCATATGAAATGCAGTAAGGTAATCTGAAACTGTAGCCAAGATAAAAAATATAAAATAACATGACAGTATTGCAAAGTTTCGAAAGACCATATAAGATTATGAGATAAGGTTATGTTCATAAGCAAACAATCTGTAAATAAAAGTACACCATTTCTTAACAAATATTATTGATGAAGTACTTTCTACATAACCTGATTTTTGAGTATGTGAGAATGAGTCTGGGAAATCAATCCTAATGTATGAGTTGATATCTACGATGGACACTAAAAAAATGTTTACGTGACAATGAAGTGCATCCTCATGAAGAAATGATAATTCTATGAAAACTATAAAAACATAGCATTCTAAGTAAAAATGAAGCTTATTTAACATACATTAATGCTTAATGTAGTAAAAGTGACAAACTAAAATTTACTCAGTAGAGTAATTGGAAAACTTTCACTAAACAATGATTCCCATCTTAGCGAATCCTTTGACAGTATCCTCAAGTAATTTAAAAATGAAATGCTAAAAATAGTATGGAATCCTATGTTCTTGTATTGTGTATTTACAAATATAGTATACTAAGATAAACAATGCCGGTAATAGGATGTCCAAAGATTAGGCTTAACAGTGAGATTTTAACTGATTGAAGAATGAGTGACCTATAAGTTATCTATGACATTTTATCATGTTTATTCTGTGTTCTTATTCTGTATACGAACACGTTGTTTTGTTACATAGAAAACTACTTATCTGGTTAGTGGTCTTACCTTAGACTTCTAATTATTCGAGGGCCTAACTCAATAATACAATGTCGTGGGTAACCATCATTCGCCCACACTATATTATTGGGTTCCTTCAGAGATTGCCATTCCATCCATCGACTTCAACAATCAAAAATTTCATCTAGTCAAATCACAGAAAACTTTGCCCGTATAACAGGTAGGGACTTATGTGTGTTATAAATAGTAATTGGAAGTGATTAAGTAAATTAGCTACAGATTTCATAACATTTATTTAGAGACTATTAGTAATGATTGTGCTTGTATTTAAAAAAAAGATGGATGGAAATTGAAGCTGGATAACTTTAACACACAATTTACAAACCTGCATTGATGAAATAGCTTCCTTCGTGACGCTTCGGAAATACAGAAGCCGGTGCTACCACTGAATGTTGATGACTTCGGAAAAAATTAATAAATTCTCGTCGAAGTTCCGAAGCAGAAGAGTTTCGTAAACGAATAGATGATGCAAGAGAAACATGTCGAGGGACTGACTGATCAGGAGCTAATGTACAACGACCAGTAGAATGTATATCCTGACCAGATGACGGTACTATTGCAAAACCTTTGGAGATTATATACGATGGATACTTCTGATCGAACTAAAGCATTCGAAAGCAAAGAAACAATTACTATTAGAGTATATTTAATAAGTGAATATTAAGTATTAAAAAACGTAGGTATCCAAGCAACGAATTATCACTGGATATAACTAGCTTGGGAAAAATTAAAAAAATAGGTGAGTACAAACCAGTTTCGTGTAAATCGCACGTCTTAATAGTGATAAGGATGAAATATTGATACAATGGGTGGTTAAAATACTTTTTTTTCCACTAGTATATTACGACAATAGGTTAATAAGATGAGACTAGTCACGTTATATCAGATCCAGGATTCACGACCGAAAATAGAGAACCAGAGGATCGACTAGATAATACTTTGTTCAACACAATTACAAGCAGTCACTTCCAAGGAGTCAGGATTAAAAATCAATAAGAGGAAAGGAAATCACATATTTAATAGTCATTAGGCTATGACTGCCTGTCCACACTAAACGACCATTCATTTTTACTTTGACTCCCACACATCAAATACTAAAATAAATTAGATTAAATAATGATAGTTACTGTTTACTTTAAATTTCTATCGAACCTGATTAACCCAAATACACTATATATATCGTTTGCAATGGCGCAGGTGCATACACTCTTTGTGTTCTCCTAAAATTTAATCTCCTGATTCCTCGTTGTCTCTTTTTTCTCTTCCCAAATTTGTTTCACTGGATTATACTTTTTGAATAACATCTCCAAACCCTAATCTTCCCGATTACTGCTTATACTCTTACTACCACTACGGTAATTGAATCAACAACTGCATCTCTGTAATGATGTGGTATGGAAACCCGAACTGATGTACGTACGTACGAAGTTCTACGTTGTTACTGACTGACTGCTGTATATATTTTATAACTATTATTATAAACTTATAAAACACAAGTTCAAGGGCTTGAATTTGGGCTGCACTCTAAGTACGGGGGCTAGTGATAACAAACGACCGTCTAAACCAAGGTAGCTGGAGTATGGTTCGAATGTGAATCAACAGCTACACGTTGGACCATTGAAATATACCTATTAACATGACTCAGTACAATCATCAGTGCCTTCATCGACTAAATGCATGTTTCGGTTTGGTCGTCCTCAGCTTTTCTTCAGCCTACTCTTACACCACCAAACACCGCTCGTCAAAGCACATCGTGGTTATAGATACGTAACACATGTCCCAACCACCTCAGTTTTTGAAGATTTATAATTTCATCAATCGATTTACCACCCTTACCTAGTACACTATTCTTAATATAGACTTTACTTACTCAATAACACCAAAATACATAAGTAATGCTTCGAAAACACCAGTGATCGAAGACTAGTAATTTGCGAATATCCTTTATTCTTATAGGCCATGCTTTACATCGATAAAGTAGGACGGAGTGAACTGCTGTGCAGTAAACTCGTCGTTTAGTTGGTAGACAGATGTATTGCCCACGCTACAAGTGAAGCAACTTGGTAAAAGCCAATCAAACCTTCTGAATTCGTGTCGAGATTTCGTCAGATACCGGACTATCAGTACCAATGAGACTCCTACGCTAAGTGAAGCAGTCAACACGCTCAACTACTTCACTTCCTATCATTAATTCGGGCGGTTGCACAAGCAAATCCTGAAGTGACACTTTGCACTTGGAGGGAAAGAATTGTATCTCAAACATGCTTGAATTGTTGATTATGGAGGTCAGAAGACTCCGAATTTTCCAGCGTCCACCAAATAGAATTATATTATCTGCGTATTATCAGTCAACAAGTGAGTACACGTACTTTCAAAAGTCGAAAATTATGTCTATGTTCCATAACCAGTCAAACAGTGAATATATGGTCCATACATGCACACTCAGGTCTGAAATCAGCTTGGTTTTTTCGAGTTCGCTCTTCACGGACTGTAGTCAGATGTCAAAGTAAATATGTGCTTAGCTTTAGTCACACTTCTTCTGTAAGGACCAGTAATATTATCCATTCGCCTAAATTAAAGTAGGTGAAGGGGAGTTCAAGCCGGTGACCGAGTGCTTGAAAGCAGTGTTTTGACCACTGGAAAGTCAAAATATAAAACATCGCATGGATATTTGCAGACGAGCATTTTCGTCAACATCTAATATGCTTCTAGTGAAACAGTGTAGAAAACTAGGGCCAACAGACTACACAAATAATAACTCAACCACAATGAGTTCTAAATCAATATTCCTAGCTATAATTTTCAATATAGCTTTGATTCGACCGCTCTTTCGACGGACTATACGTGGTAAAAAGTATGTTTTCGTAAAACCGTGACATTTTACGACCACATTCTCTTTTCGCTGAATGTCTTTACAAATAATCCCATTCCTTCACACTATACACTACACTTCAACAGTACGGTGTCACATTCGACCGATAGTTTTAATACACAGTCAGTCAGTCAGCTACAACGCAGCACCGGGCACATATATGCATCGGTTCAAGTTGCCACACCTCATCAGCACAACAAGATGAACAACAAACTCATATAAGTTAGTTCGATGATGGTAATATATAAAAGATTTCATATAAGGATATAGTACAAAAAAATCGTTCATAGAAAGAAATGTATGAAGCAATTTTAATTTCATCGTTTAGGGACAGACAAATAGTGTATACACCGACGCCATTGTGATCGATTCTCAGCCATGTAACCCAGGGTCTCCAACCATTGGTTACGATAGTCACGCGGACCCCAACCAAGTAGTCTGCATCTACCAACATGACACAGACCAGAAGTTAGTGACTCCAAGGACTGATGCCGTGTTTTGGTTCGGCCGCCCCTAACGTTTTTCGAACCATCCCCAACACTAGTCAGAGTTGCGCGTCGTGGTAAGACAGCGATAACTTTTTTTCATTCGCTTGGTGTCTTTCATCGCTGAAGCGTTAACCGGTGGTTATTTATTTTGAAATCAAACTATTTTCAAGTGCCGAAACATCAAAGACCTACTTATATACATCATTAGGATCCTATGGAGACGTAACCACTATCTTTTACCTTCACCATCTTACTTGAGACTTACTCGAGTTTTTCTGACCCGAAGGAAGAAGCTAGTTTTTGATTTTTGGAGGTGACAAAAAGCCATTGTTCACTGTTTAATTTTTAACCAACAAAGACAGCAGACGAGACACCTGTAATAAATGAAATTTCATGGAAAATGACTATATGGACCATACGGAAGACAAGAGACAAATAAAACTGACATTGCACAGCCTTTATTTTTATTATTGGTAAAAAAAGTGATTGTCGATTATATAAAAAAAGATTCATAGAATAAATGTTATTCGTAACGTAGTTCTAATAATTACAGGCCTATAAGTGAATCTAGCCTAGATTACAAGAATGAGATGAAATTTTAAGGAGGGCGAATTAGTACAAAACACTACTTGGCTTATTTTTCTTAACTGGCTATGTACGCTAGACAAGACTTGTGTACACAGCTTTGAGAAAATCTGTGACTGCACACTAAGGACGTTTTTCAAATTAGCCTAACTCCAATAATTCCGGACCATTCAGGCAACAGTAGAGAGCGCACCACTCAAACTAAACAACTCAATGTTTTTGTTTCCTTTCGCCAAAACCTCACTAGAAATTAAGGTTAGGCGTAAAAGACTAAAAAAAATCGGACGACATATAAAGAAACCAAAGTGAAAAATATTATTTGGCGAAAAATTCCGCAATATGGAGATGATTTGCGAGTATATATAACTAGTGTAACTCGTTACTAGAAACTGTGCCAAGAAATGTTGATTTGAATGTTAATTTGAAGAAAACGTGATAACATCAAGTATATTTCACTTTATTTCTTAAATGCAAACTAAACTAAGAAAAACCTAAACTACTGAGTAGGTGTTTAGAGCTGGGACGAGGTTGACTGTATAATACCCATCGTAAAAAGGCTTTTAGAGGGATTATTGATATAATAATGACAATCGTCGAAATACCTGACTCATAGAGTGGCAAGCAAAAGAACTTTTCCAATCTCGATGTGATATCACATCAAGGTTAAAAAAAGGAGTAAAGGCGAAAATTCATGTAGATCTGCACATTGAAATGTTAAGAAAGATATAATTTGGATCCTTTGATCGTTTAGGGTGACCATACACATGAAACAATATCTCAGAGACGCAGAATTATAATATCAAGGCACTATTTTATTTAACTAAAGGAAAAAACTCCACGGTATGCATAGTAAGTAATCTTTAATGCTGTGAGATCAAGAATTTCATAATAAGAAATAGGATCATTTCGCCTCAAGAAGCACACCCCAATATCACTATCTTGGGGAAAAATCCCAAAATTTTATAGGATTCTGGGAAAATATTAGAGAAAGGCCGAAAATTTCCCAGAACATTAGGGATTTTCGTCATTATTTTTCCAGAATCTTATGAAACTTTGTGAGTTTTCGTCAGGTTTTTGAAAATTTTGGTTTTCGGGCAATTTATTTTAATTTCAACAGCTCTAGCTTCATCTTAATACGGAAAACGAAGACAAGAACAACAAGTCAAAAAACCCACCAAAGAACACGCGACCCTGATGGGCAAAGCACTTTTAAAAAACGCGCTCAAAAGTACTAAGTAAAATGACTCTCAAGTCTTGTACTTATCCAGACTAAAACATAAAGTCAAATTTTTTCAACATAGGAGCCTGATTATCCGGTAGTTTCGTGAATCTGATGATGATATTGATGACATTAATGCTACTGAACAGGCATAACTGCTGAGGTGTGTTTATTTTAAAAAATGACTGTCAGTTTACCACGTCTTTAATTTATGCTATGATCATCGGAGCTTGAATGTCATACTTTCGAAGACCCCTTCTTATTTTATTCCCAATTTTATTGCTAGGTTCCACTGCAAACCGAAATTCACTTTTTGGGCCAGGTCGTCCGCTTATATTCATTTGCGCCTCTTTCTTCTAGATTATTATGAACATATTGCTCTGGGCACTTATTCGGCACATAACTTGCATCCATGTTCACAGACATAAGCCGTGAATATTCATTCTTCACAAAAGATAACCGGCAGCGAAAACGTTCATCTAAAAACTGATACAAAAAATAATTTGAACGAATACAATGAACTAGTCAAACGATATAGGAAGAAAGTGTTTCTCTTAGCATCCAACGATTTTGGTTGTGTTTTAAAGACAATAAACGCATATCTACTCCAGAACAATAGATTCAAAGCAATAAGTTCACATAAGAGTATTATAATAAAAGTAGCCAAAAAGGCAGCCGTAAGAACGCATTGCTGGATAGAATGAAATCAATATAAAAGAAGCATTAGTGCACAGTGGACAAAGCAACATATTTGATATCAAAAATCTCGGAGTTTAGATCTAGACAGACCAGTAGGAGGACAAGTTAGAGTCTCACGTTATCCAGGAAATCGAATTCGCTACTTATTTGGATATCCTGGTAATTTTGAGGCAAATAATAAGAAACGAAGGGTATGTGAATGGGTGATGAGCCATCGTTTAATCGTATGTATCGTAGAACCAAGTGCACATGTGCATCAGTATATGTTTCTAGTCCGTAGTAGTAGTAGTAGTAGTATAATATATTAGTGTGAATAAAATATTTACAGCAACAGTGGTAAACAAAATCGAAAGTGTAATAAAATAGATCGGTTGTCGATTTTGTGGATAACAAGCAAATATCCAAAAGCCTGGGGATGCTAATTCTAGTAGTTTCAAAATAAAACACTACTGAGGAAGATTTATTACTCAAGGACAGGAAGTGTAACTGGATGACATTAATGTCCATCTTAATGAATCGCTGGAGAAAAAATTCTGTAAGCAACACATTATCAGTTAAATTTCCGTTACTTATCAATAAATGAAATAATATATTTGTATTATCCCAATGAGTAGAAAAATTGGATTTTCTGACATTTCGTGACTCTGCATGAGCTACTTCTTCGCAGAATAAATAACTAGATCAAAATTAATCCAAGTCTAAATAGCACAAAAGGTCAACGCGAGAATATTGTGTGCGATCAATAAAAAAAGCAAGTCCGACTAACATAATGTCACGTTATTTCAGTCAAGGTGATTTATAAGTGACATGTTTGAAAAGTTGTGTATCTGTCCAGGGTCAGAGATGAAAAAATGTAACCTTGTAGTGCGAAAGGATAGAATTTAATTTGGATGTACGATAATAGTAAGGTGTGAATATCAGACATGGAGGCTTGGATAGATAATTCAAGTCGGATGTATAATGAAGCCTTCTTGTAATTAACATTTAACAAATTTACAATCTTTCAAATCGTTAAAAACACAAAATTTACCTAAAAACCACTCTTTATAATTTGTAGCGTGATAATTCAGGAGCATTATATGGTATCATAAGTCAAGGTTTTCGTAGCACAGTTGTGGAAGAGCGACAGTTCATGCGAACACTATGGACTTTATTAAATGAAACTGAAACGGGCTATAAAATTTTCTAACATTCTTCTTTTATCCACGTAACTGATGGAGTTTTCCAAACGATACGCTGTGGTTACATGTGAACGTTTCTCGTGAAATTATTTCATCTCATGCGAACGGAAGTATTGAGTGATAAAAGAAGTAAAGTCAACTCAACTTACACAAGTAATGTATGACTTAAAACCTTACAAAAAATGCAAAGATGTATATTGGATACAAAACATTTAGAAACGAAATGTCAAACGTCGTATAAGTTTAACTACTGATATCTATAGCGCCCAACGTATAAAGTTATCTGTTATGATTCAGACTAGATAATGCTGACGAAATGAAAGCTTCATTTTATTGGGTCGTTCTTTGACAAGCAGAACTAGGTATGCAGCACGTACCTTACATGGTTAAACTCAGTCTAAGTGATGCTCTTGATGGTTTGGCAGACTATCCTGGGAGGCAAAAGTTTGTTCTATGATTCAAATTTGGTTCATGGTTCATGCCGTGTTGATCTCGGCAGAAACAAGAGTCGTGAGGCGAGTAACCAGTTACAAAGAGTCCTACCCTCTCTTTCGCTCCCGTATTATATTCAGTTCAGTGAAGTTAATGTTGGATAAATTTCGGTACAGACTGAACACTTATACAAGACTATGACGGCAATGTATAAACACTGAAAACTTAGGAATTTGCATTCCCATTATACACTTAAGATATTCTGGCGTGCAACATAATAATTTTGTCACAAAGACGAATATATTTAATAGGACGGATGCGCTGTGGTAAGAATGTTAATGCATTCTGAAATTGGATACAGAATTCACTTCAGCTCACAGACATAATCATGCCTATATAAATTGGGTTAAGAAACTACTGGAACAAGAATATAATTTGTAATAAGATTTGATGCCTAGACTACTTTAAACTGAGTACATGAGATAGATTGTTAGTGACATTTGACTTTATTGAAAGCTGTTGTTGTGTTTGCTTTACAAACAACTAAAACCGAACTTTAAAATGCGGTCCTTCAACGTATTTATAAAAAATATGATAGAGAAAACAATTGATTGGACAAAGGTCCTATGTTTATTAGTTTTTAATTATTTGAAAATATAAATGTTGGTAAAAAGGCCAACTAATACAAATGCGCCACATAAGTCACTTGATATGTGTGTGGGCTGTAATACTACCTGGGTGTTCAAACTGCCGGACATTCACCTTTCGTCCTCTCAACTTCGTAAACATCACCCCCGCCACGAGAAGGCAGTGAGCAGGATTTCTGTGGGGTTGGCTGTATGCACGTGGCCATGTGAGAGCATTTTAGGAGGGAGAGTTAACTCCCCCCCACCCTCGACAGTATCAGGACATTTGGGAACACGAGCATCTGTCTCTAGTCATAAATGTTCGTCAAATAAAAAATGACGGAAGACTTTACGTCTGCTAGTTATCAATGCTGATAAACACCATGGCGGCAAACGTCAATGGTTACAACATTCCACGTTTGTGGAAGAAATCCAGCCATTATAAAAGTACCACGCATTATTTGAAGACTGAGAAATACGTTTTAGGTTTTTACATCATCTTATATGTTCACATAAACAACTCGTTGCAGCCACTGGTAAATTTAATATTCAGCACACATCCCCTAGCACGGATAAAGAAGGGGATGGGATAAAAGGTTATTAACCCTGTCATGTAGAAAAAAAATTGGGAAAATATACTAACCAGAAAAAATATTAAACCACTTAAAGCCTGTCCTGGAAGCTGAGAGGTCTTCATCTAAAAGTAAAAGCAGAGATTCTCCGAAAACCACAAATGCAAACATGCTCCACATTCTATTCAGATAGTTTGAGGAGGAAGAACAAGTGCCAACAGATTCGAAAGTGACATACCTCATCAGAATACAAAAGAAGGGAAATCTCAACAAGTGTGAGAACTACACAGGCATCACATTACTATTGGTACAAGGAAAAGTTCTCAACAGTGTTGCTGAACCAGATGAAAGACACAATAAACGTTCAGCTGCGAGATCATCAGACTTTATTCCGTAAGCGTCGATCGTTAACAGATCAAATCACGGCACTATGGACCAATGTTGAACAATCAGTTGAGTGGAAAGTACCACTCTTATCAACTGCTTTGATTATGAAGAAGCGTTCGACAGCGTGGTAGGAGAACATTATAGAACCTCCTTCGACACTACGGTGTACCTGAGAATATTTTCAACGTCATCCGGTATTAGTATAATGGACTACACTGCGAAGTCGTGCATAAGGGACAGCTGATAGACGCATTCCAAGTGAGGACCGGAGGCAGACAAGGATGTTTACTTTCCTCCTTTCTCTTCCATCTGGTGGTTGATTGGATTATGAAGACCTTGACATCTCAGTTAAAGCATGGAATACAATGGACAGCTTGCATGTAACTAAGCGATTTGAACTCCACAGATGATCTGACTCTTCTATTCTATACACACAAACAAATGTAGGTCAAGACAATCAGTGAAGTAGAAGCATCTGCATCAGTAGTCTTCAACATACACAAGCAATAAAGTAACATCCTCAAATACAACGTGGTAAACACCAACTAAGTCACACATGATGGTGAAACTCTGGAACAGGTGGAAACTTCCATGTACCTAAATGGCATCATCGATAAACACAGTGTGCAGAGAGTTGGAGGCAGATATCAAAAATGAACAGCACTGGTCAACTAGTGGAACGGAGGGACCTGGACAGATTTTGAAGGAGATTACTGGTCGGCGATCTATACCCCACGACAAGGAACATGTGTAAGTAAACAATGATCGGTATATTTTGCGCGTTATTGAGTTCTATTAAAATTATCTCGTTCCATTCTGAAGTGACGCGAGTTAGGTTTTGTATGATTTCCCAACTTCAAATTCGTCATCGTAAAGCCATAAGTTTATTGTACTGAATAAAGTATCAATGCAAGTTGCTGATAATCGAGTTTTTCATTCAGTAGTAACCAAATAGTTGTGAATCGGATCTATGTAAGGTATAAATATTGCCAAGATATTTCGGGTTAGTAAGTCTTTGAAGCTTGATCGATCTGATAGATTTCAAATACCTCTCAGTTAAATCCTTCTGTTCATCGTTTTTAATTCCGACGCACCCTGCACT